CCGTGGGGCCGACATGGTTTTCGTTTTAGTGGTTTTCTTGTTCCTGTATGTATGTTCTGGACTGGTATTTTATTCCTTTTTCTTTTTGTCTTTTTCATGTTTTTTTTTTTTTTTTTTTCCTTCTTCCATTTGGTTGTTTACAGCTGAGTGCGCACTTTGAAGGTGGTGAGTGTCGAGTTCTCGACTGTCAGCTTCGTGTGCCACTGTGGGGTCTAGCGAAGTGTCAGTGTCAGTCCACCGAAAAGCCTCACTGTTTGATCCCAATTTTCTCTTTCCAAGGCAATATTTGAGACTCACGCTATGGAGAGCATTGGATATGTTCTTTTATTCTGCTGGATTTTTCCTCTCTTTTTTTGTACCCTTCATCTTCGTTAATTTCATATTTCTTTCCATCTCAGTGTTAAGGGAGCAGTACGAGTACTTCCAAGAATTCCAATATTCGTGCAAGGATCTACAGTGGATTACAATCTGGACCACCTGAAAACATCCAAAACAACGAAATGGGAGCTCGGACACCTTGAGCGCCTTTGCCGAGCTAAATTGGCCATTGACCTTGAAAGAGTATCTAGAGTCTGGACCCCCGCCATGCCTCCTATCAGAGGGAACAAGATAAAGTGCCGCGTCCACTAACCCAACGACTCGACTCAACGTTTCAAATCATGAAAGTGACTTCGGAAATACTTCACACCATGTCGGGTGCAGCACACACAGGCGGCAGGATTGCGACGAACGAGATACTGCAACCCCGCCACATGACCAGGTCGTAACAACACCTAACAGAGCCACAGATAGTCTTGGTTCTGCACGCAAGAGCTATGCTGCACGCCAAGGCATCTCTGTGGCGAAGACACCGCCTTTTGCCCCTCCAACCCCTGATATCCCGGAGGAATTACCGCGAGGGAGAGACCATGGCCATGATCTAACGGGAGACCTGCCGGCCAAGCCATGTGTGATGCGATGCAGCCGCTGTGGCCCCTCATGATACGTTGATGAACGAGCAGTGAACACCAGCACCTGCAAGAAAACGTTCTTGGCAGCCCCACGTCTAGCCTTGGGGCTGGTGGGAAAGCAGGGACTCGTGTAAACGTGGGCGTAGGGCAGAAACCGACATTCGCTTGCAGACTCTAGCGTAGTGGAGGGTAATCAATGATGACCTCGGCATGTCTGCCTAGGATAGAGGCGGCAGATCCAGGTTTATCATAGGATGGCAGAGAACTCGCGAGTGAAACATGAAGGTCTCGTGAATACGAGACCGGGTTAGACTCTAAGGTTTACTCCAGCTCTATCTTGGTGATGTGTCGTCCGGGGATCACGATGAGTCCAATCAACCGGTGTGTCATATTCACTTTGACGGTTGTGCTTTTCCCATCGGATGAGTTCCCCCACGTCCCTGTCGCTTTGGCTGCGGCCTGTACTGCAGGTGTGGTGGGCATGCGATATTCAAAGGAGTTGGCGAGGATGATATTCCGTTCCTGTAGTGGTTTCTTGTCAGCATCTCGAGGTCCCGCCATTGTGTGCATCGCTCTGTGGCGCGTAGCTCTCAGGTGACCACTTACCGCATCAGTACACTTGAAAACCCCAATGAACATTCGAGTATCTGTGGTATGTATCCGCAAATTGCGCCCCAAAAGGCCTTCCAGGTACTGGGTAGCTTGGGTGTCTTCCATTGTGGTTTGTTGATTATTCGTGTCAGCGGCCAACGAAGCTCTCATGTGCGGGGAATGGAGTCCAAGGATAGCTCGGTGAGAACGGGCGTTGGCGCAGTGAGAGAAGCTGGGCTTGGGCTTGAGCGCTGTCGGGGTCCTTGGTAGAATTAATACTGGCTCCGTATTTGCATTGGTCTGTGGACTGGTCCGCGGAGAGAGTGTGTCCCGAGGCGGACAAACGCCTGGTCCAAGGCGGGTCAAAGGCCACAAAACTGGTTAGCAGGTACACGTTAACGGCCATCACGCCAATAATCGTCGCTGGCAGCTTGATCAACTTCATTTTCCTCAGTACTCCCTAGTACACATTTTAATAGCAAAACATCCGTATTGGTCCCATATAGAAGAGCGCAAGGACCAAAAAAAGTGAACATAGTATAATATTAAAGTAGGTAGCCTTTTGCTAACTTGACTATGTCAAAGGCCGAGCCTCCTACGTGTAAGGCCCCAAGTAGTTCACACCATGAGCGCCAGACACAAGTTCAGTCTCCAGTCCTTGACTGAGAAAAAAAAATAATCCAGGCGATACCTTCAGCCTGTAACGCATAATCCCAACAACACCAAGTATACCGAACGAAACAAGAGGTATCCATGTTTTTCCAAAAGCGCCAGCGCTAATTGGCAACGAGCGAAACCAATCCGACAAAACTACATCCACGCCGTTCGTCCCATCCAATTGTTAGGCATCTGGTTGGACGCGTCACTCCCACTTGCACAATCCGTGTCCATGTCCATATCCATGTCCACATCAGCGCCCATTTGGGTATACCCAGGGCTATTGCTTTCACTGGCGCTTGAGCTGCCTGCCCCGTTCATCTGATTGAATGCCCGATAACGCGTTTCTTCTTCTGCTAGAGCTGTTTCATTCGCACGAGGTGCAAGAGCCTGGCGGGATGGCCGGAAAGTTGATGATTGCTGGGGAGCTTTGAAGAACTGGTGTAACGTTTGCTGACGGGGATCAACAACCTCGGGCTCAACGGTCGGCTCGGAATCCATTGTATCGTCTTCGGTCGCCTGTGGCTGCTGTTGCTTTTGGGCGGAGTAAATCCATCGTAGGGTGTTTTCTGGGAGCTTCAGTAAGCCTAGTTCACTGGCAAGGGAGCACGCGACCAAGGGGGCACATTGACGCACGGTAGATGACATTTTCACAGGGGCGGTCGTCTCTGAAGCGCTTTCGAGTACGACTGTGTAGGTGGGTGTTTCCATCCAATGCCATGTTCCATTCACTGGGGGCAGGCACCGAAGGGCTGTTCGGAAGGGCTGTGAACGAAGCTTTGCGCTTAAGAGACATTATATGATATTTGAAACGCGGTAGGTGAAGGAAGTCAATATATGTGAATTGGTCGTGGCAATGGGTGAATTGTGTCAAGATGGGAAATGAGGTCGAAAGCAAAGCGGATTTACCAGGCGCGTCATTGGAGATTCGCGTTGCTTTCTGGTTACGCTAGTCCCAAACAGGCAATATAGAGGCTCCGGGGGTCATTACTTCCAGACGAACATGTGTCGCACCCTTCACTCATGATGTTCGTTAGTGATGTTTTTTTGGATTTTTAAAGAACAGATTTTGAGTTCCTGGCGCGGTATTATACTGGCACTGAACGATTCAGTCCTCCTCACTGCTCGCTATCATTCTTCCGGTATCCAGGACTACCTGTATGATCAACACCGTAAAGGGTCTGCGAATTGTTTCAGAATATCGACATGCTCACTAACCCAGGGAGACTTTAACTGAGCTGCGTATTCATTGACACTCGAAAGATTAGGTTTGGCATTGTGCGCACCTGCATCGAAGAGTCCGCCTCATACATAGCTAACCCCCACTTCTCCTCACTGAGCTACCTCCGAAGCACTTTCAACCACCCCGCAACTCCCCGTCACTTCCAAAATGGCCTCTCGACATCCTTCACACTCCGGGTCATGGTACTCGGCTAGCTCCGACACCTTGGCACGCCAGCTGGATGGCTGGCTGGCCCAGGTTCCCGACACGATGGAGAAGGTCGGCTCGCTGCCAACCCCGGGAGCGAGAGTGATCATAGCACCGTATGTCTGAATTCTCACGGAAATAACACGAGAAGTCAAGATCATTATATTAACCTCACAGGCATGCGGGATTTTCGTATTCTGGTCCATGTGCTGCGTACGCCTACAAAGCATTAGATCTCTCCAAAGCGTGAGCTCGTACTTCGAGAGCTTCAGAATTCGGTTGCTAATCTGGGAAATCAGCAAGCGAATCTTTATTCTGGGACCATCGCATCATGTCTCTCTATCGACCCTCGCTCTGCCAACGTTAACTTCCTACCGTACCCCTCTATCCGCTGAGCCCCTCCCACTTGACACCGAGCTGATCACCCAGCTCTCCGAAACACAGGCGACCCGACCTAACGGGTCAAAGGTTAGCTTCACTCACATGTCACGCTCTGTCGATGAGGATGAACACAGTATTGAGATGCACTTGCCGTACATCCATCGCCTGCTGCAGGTCCAATTCCCAGATTTGCCAACTTCTGAATACCCACGTCTGGTCCCAATCATGGTTGGAAATACTTCAGCCGCAACAGAGGAAGCATTCGGCAATTTGTTGGCCCCTTACCTAGCAGATCCATCCAACGCGTTTGTTATCAGTTCGGACTTCTGTCACTGGGGTTCCCGCTTCCGCTACACTTATTATGTGCCCCAGGCCCCCAAGCCCGGGCCTCAACTTCCGCTGTCTAGTGACGCACTTCCACAGCCAGAATCAGACACCAGCGGTGCTGAATCGAGTATCGAGGCAGTATCGGCCGGTCATTCCCTGCGGCAACGCGATCGAATCTCGAGCCGTGACCCGGCCATTCACGAAAGTATCTCGGCATTTGATATGGCAACCATGGCTGCCATTACAACCGGATCTGCCAAATCCTTTTTGGACGTTCTTGACCGCACAGGTAACACCGTATGTGGTCGCCATCCAATCGGGGTGATCATGGCAGCTCTGCAAGTTGTCACGGCCAATCAGGCGACGGATCAGCAGGGTCGCTTCTATTTCTTGCGATATGAACGCAGCGCTGATATATTAGACGCTGACGACAGCTCGGTGAGCTATGTTTCTGCGTTTGCAGTGCTTTAGAGCAGCTCACCACTTGCCACGGATTACAGAGCAACCTCGTTTGCTTTAATTTTCTTTTCGTTTCCTTATCGGCCCCGCCAACACTCGCGAGTCCAAACGCAAGTACGGGGTACCAAACGATAGATCATAGTCTTGTCTTACAATCGTACGATTAGCTCCTCAAAGCCAAATTCCAGTTTCTAACAGTGTACCATGCCCAGTAGACAGAAACCAGGACTTCCAGTGAATTGAGAATCGGAAATCCCAGACTCACTTCCACTTCAGGCCAAGGCTCCAGGGCTGAATAGGTGGGGTTTCCGGGATCGGATTTTGAAACATCGCCAATTTAGGGCCGATAGCCCACAGAGTAGATGGCGCACTGCACCGTGCACCGAGGCAGGGCAATCCATTTGGAGTTTCATTTCAAGGAGATTTCCGAGACCCATCAGGCTCATGCTGGATACCTCGCGAAGGGTCTTAAACTCGAAACCATCTCTTCAACTCTAGTCGGACTTTCTAAGCTGCCATTGGAGCAGGGTCCGATCTCACTCACCATGATCAGGCGTGCAATGCACCTAAATGGCCGAACATCAAACACGCCAGTCCCTTAAATTTAGGCGCCGGGCTAGTGCAGAGCGTTGACCAACCAATCCTGGCCTCGGATCACACCGGGCATCAGTTGCTTTTCAAGCCTCTTACTCTGCAACCCTGTCATAGTGGGCCAAATCGTATGGGTCCTTCGTTTGATCGGTCCAGTCGGACATTAAGCGCCGTCTCCCCTCGTCTGACAGGGCTCTCTGCAGAGGCGTTACTCTTTGATCTGTACGGAGTAGGGCACATTCTTCTTTGGGGCTTCCAAGGTTTGGGTTTTTTTTTCCTATTGTCGATTCGTTTGAACAGGGGAGTGGATCTGAATGAAAGACAATGCACTATTGTCAAACAAACGCCCCCAAGCATATATAAAGCATGTATTCAGGCCATTGGATCTCTTTCTCCCGGTCTATCCCTCTCTACCATCTTCGTACCTAGTAACGGTCGATTTGTCGATTCTGGTCATTCCTTAAGCCAGATCGATAGATATTTCACTTCTTCCACTCCTTCATCCTTAGTGTGAAAAGGAATTCCTTGGCTGGCACTAGGAGTCCTTCACCGCTTACTTGAGTCATGTTCTCTCTTTTTCTGGCCCTGGTTGGCCTTCTTCCCATCATCGTGGCATCCCCGCTCCCTGCCGAATACCGAAGAACAATGACTTCCGACGAAAATCATGGCAACAGACTGGTTTTCTGTCATTTTATGGTGAGTGGACTATTCAGAACTGTCTTTGTATCAATTTTAATCTTTTTCTAGATGGGAATCGTTAGCAACCGCCAAAGTTCTAGCGATTATGACGACGATATGAAACGTGCAAAAGATGCAGGCATCGATGCATTTGCTTTGAACATTGGTACCGATGACTATACTGATACTCAGCTGGCCTTTGCGTATCAGTCTGCGGCTGAACATGACATGAAGCTATTCATCTCTTTCGACTTCAACTGGTGGCAGACAAGTGAGGCCGCTGCTGTCGGAATGAAAGTCGCAGAGTTCGCCAACCACCCTGCACAGCTCCTGGTTGACGGCAGGGTCTTTGTGTCTTCCTTCTGCGGTGACGGTGTCGATGTCAACGAGATGAAGGCAGCTGCCGGCAGTGATCTCTATTTCGCCCCCAACTATCATCCCGGTCACGGTGATTTCGGCGATGTCGATGCTGCTTTCAACTGGATGGGCTGGAGCAGTAATGGACAAAACAAGGCTCCGACTGATGAAGCCCACGTCTCAGTTGTGGACGGCGATAATGCTTATAAAGAGGCTCTCGATGGAAAGCCTCTTCTTGCGCGTGAGTGTTTTTACCTTTCCTCTGACTGACTTGATCGCTGATTGAAGATAGCTGTCTCCCCATGGTTCTCAACCCACTACGGTACCGAGGTCTCCTACAGCAAGAACTGGGTGTTCCCCTCCGACCTCCTCTGGTACAATCGATGGAGAGAGATCTTGGAGACCGGTCCTCGATTCGTGGAAATCGTCACCTGGAACGATTATGGCGAGTCGCACTATATTGGACCGCTTTCATCACCCCACACCGATGACGGTGCCTCCAAATGGGTGATGGACATGTGAGTAGATATTCCCTAACACAACCATGCCGGAGCGACAACTAATGTAAGAACAGGCCACACAACGGCTGGCTTGACATGGCTAAGCCGTTCATCGCCGCCTACAAGGCTGGCTCGGAAACACCGATCGACTTCCTCGAGGAAGAGAAGCTAGTCTACTGGTACCGTCCGACACCTAAAGAAGCCGACTGCGATGAAACCGACACCACAATGCACGGGGACGCCGACAACTCCAGCGGCAACTTCTTCCGCGGCCGACCGGACGGTGCCGATAGCATGGCTGACGAGGTGTTCATTGTCACTATGCTGAAGGGGCCCGCGACCGTGGAGGTCCAATCTGGTGATCATGTCGAGACCTTCGAGGCCGATGCAGGTGTATGGTCGCATTCGGTCCCCATGGGCGTGGGGGCGCAGACCTTCAAGGTCACCCGTGACGACGAGCCAGTCGATTCTTTGTGCGGGACTAGCTTGAGAGATATCACGGACACTTGCCCCTGTGGCATCTATAACTTCAACGCCTATGTGGGCACTCTGCCGGCGGAAGACTTTATCGACGAGCTGCAGCCGGCTGGGTTGACGATGCTGACTGAAGGATTGCAAGTCGAGTGTGCCGTCAACGCTCTTGGCAGTGGTCGTGCATAGCGGGGTTGAGGCATTCGAGTCCTTTCACGAAGGTAATGGAAATGCAGGCATTTACATTTCTCGCATTGAGTTCAGCTCTTTCATACACCTAGATCTAGACCCTCTCCGTATCTTGTAGATCATCCATCCATGGATGTACTAGTACTCCGTATAGACCGAGGATTGCCCGGAACTGACTTATCTTATCACGGCTGAATAGCTGCAGCTCTCCAGGGCTCACCTGGGCCTGGGCACTCTAGCTCATATATCTCATTCCGTTATCTCCACACACCGACTCTTTGAGAACCCTCCGATGGAGCTTTATGCCTGTACCCGGTGCTGGCCGTTCGGATCGACGGGAAATCCAGTGCCTAGGGTCGTGCCCGATGGGCTTGATCACCAGATCCTTCCTTTGAGGGTGTATTTATAGGGACCCCATGTCATGCCTGTCTACAATCAAAGATATTTTCGGCTTATCTATATTCAATTAGAATGGTCCGTATGAAGCCCGGTGTTTTTTCATGGGAAGATGTGCTACCCCAGCGATATCAGAGTAAGTCACGCAATTCTTCCAACTTGAGTATGACTACCACGACTCTAAATCTACTCAAAAGGCAATAAACCAGTCCCTCTCCCCCGCAGCCAGACTCTTCCGGTGGAGGCCTCCCGGCCACAACCCCAAGCTTACTTACTAGGACGGTTATCGCCGGAGCTTCGTCTCATGATCTGGGGATTCGTCCTAGGAGGCCAGCGAATACACATCGTTCAGCGCAGCGGCAAGCAATTGGGACATGTAATTTGTTCCTGTCCAGGCCGAGATGCAAATGTATCGAGCAACATGCTGAAGCATCGAAGAAGCGATGATTGCGATATCTGCCATGGATCCGGGATCCCGCAACCAGCCAAAGGAGAGTTTGCGCGCAAGAATAAGGTTATGCTACTGGGGCTAGCATTGACATGTCGACAGATGTATGATCTCAGCCCTATCTTGCCTCAACGTCCCTCTGTAATATGGATATGAGGACATACAAAGTCCCATACAAACCCAGTCCCAGTCTAACCCCGAGATAGATATCATGAATCCATCTCCCTACTCTACACACTCCCAATCTTCGAGTTCAGCAACCCCTGGTCCCTCCCCTATCTCCACCCGACCATCCCACGCCAGCACTGGGAATCCATCCGCACAGTCGAACTCCGTTGGTCCTTCCCAGGCCACTGGCTACCAAGCAAAGACTCCGTCCGCGCCGTCTACGTCTCCGCCGGCCGACTCCAATGGCAAGAGACGTGCCAGTCCCTGATGCAGATGCGCGCATTACGAAGCTTCACCCTCACTCTGGAGAATACCTGGTTCAGCGAGAGTGCTGGGAAACTTGTGGGATTCTTAGATCCATTGAAGGGACTAGCAGGGAGGTCCGTGAATGGTTTCGGCATTGGGCCGGGAACACCCAATGGATCTGGGGAATACTATGGGTCTGCGGACGAGTCAGTGGGCAGGAGTGAGGGTGGGAGCATGGGGTCTCGGAGCTTGTCTGAAACGTCGGCTGGGTCATATACTAGTACGGGCACATTGGCGTGGGAGCTTCGACTTCGGGGTCAGTCCTATTACCCGCATGAATTGCAGAAGATAGGAGATGATCTACGGCAGAGAGGGATAGAGTGCTGGAGTTCGGTGTGAGAACCTTGGGGGTATTAGCATAGTACTAGTAGCATGTACTGTACAAGATACACTCGTGTCCTTAGGATGATTTTCGAGTAACGGATCCTGCAGGCATTTAATGATCCGCAATGGCGTGATTCCATTATTTTCCGAGTAGTATGTACTGTATGCTATCTGAAGAGGAGAAAAAAATGGAAGGAAAAAAACGAGTTGTGGCCCGACGATCAGTTCTAGATGTTCGACCCCTTTTTTCGGGTCTGCATACGAGGTCGAGTTGCATTGGGCATAGCAGTTACACCGTTACTCCGTGCCGATCTGCATATTAGGATCGGAGGTGTGCCGGTTTCCTTTACGAAGTTTGTCAAATGCTTCGACTGTGTACTTCGTACCATAGATGGTAATGTGTACGGGGAAGTGGGACGAGGCATACGTGCTTAGACTTAACCCGTTTGAGGTGAGACCCTGGACCCACCGGATAAAAATATAAACCTGGGAATGCCTTCTGATATCATGTTCCATTCCATTGTGTACTGTACATACTGAGTGCATTCTGACCTCAACACTGTTCTCAGTATGATCGTATATGATGTCGGGGGCAAAACCTGAACTCAACTCCGCTCAAAGCGCGGGGAAGATCGCACATCTTAATCAAAACGGTGATACTAGTAATTCCCGGTAATACTGGTAGTGGTAATGATGGGCAGGGTCTACATCCGAGAAAATCATGTTCAAAAAAAGTCTTGGTATTGAATAGGCGGAATAGATCCATAGTAGAAGTGAAGAGAGAAAAAGGAAATTGGGACCCAGAAAATGGTCAGGTATATCACAAAAAAAGAAATCAGAGAGATCAAACTGGCGACCTGCCAGACATGCAGAAAAAAAGAAAAGCCATTGAGAAAAAAAAAAGGATTTCGTCCGTGACTCGTACAACATGTACATCGTCGGACAGTTCCAAAAACATATTAGAAGAAAAAGGTCATAGAGAAGGAGAACGATAGAATCGTCGTCACCGTGGGCGCCGTCCAAAAACCATGCTAAATTCAATGCCATGATGCAATTCCACCGGTTTGTAACCCAAATTAAGAGAAAAGAATGGAGGCTCAGATGGTCTGGCTCCAAGTCTCGGGGTGTAAGAAAGATCGAAGGTCGTAGAGAGTTGGGGGTTTGAAGATGTGCTCAAATGATCAATGATCACAGAGGCAGGCCAACATCGCCAATTTGGGCCAATCCCGAAGTTCGCTGATTGACCATAGCACATCGTGCTGTCCGATGAGAATGGTCAAGGTGATGCCTGTGTCGGAAGACACTGGCAGCGCGGGCGGATCGCCTGATGCGATCGCAGTGGAATCGGTGGATGCATTGAACCCACGTTGCGGTGTTGGCTCAATGTAGCTGCGCCCGACTCGAAATCCATTCGGATGAATGGACTGCAAGGAGCCGGGTTGTGCAATCAGTTGATCAGAGATGGGGTCCAGATGGTAAGTCAAAGACCAGAGAGGTGTTGTTATACTAGATGTCCAGAGACGGTTTACCGTCCTTCGTGAGAACGGTCGGGGCCGGAGTGGCCATGGCCTCGGGCGGCAAGCCACTCGGTAGAAGCCTCTTGGCGCGCACCGGGATGTTTTTGATCCTCGGGGCGACCGGAGAGGTTGCGTGGGAGCATGTTGTTGATTTCTGCTGCCAGCGCAGAAGCCATGTAGCATCGAAGTTCCTTTTCTTCACGCTCGTCTTCCTTGATCAACCGGCGCTGGTCGGTCTTGGACATGTTCTCGCGGCGCTTGCGGCGAATCTCGTGAATAGACCAGAGCACGACCTCTTCGGGGGCGCGGTTGCGAGGGCTGCCGTGGCGAGAGAAGTTGCGGACATATCGGCGAGTGACGTCGGTCGCACCATCGATGGAAAACGCCACACAGTAGGAGATTTTCCGTTGCCATCCCTCTGTGTAGAGACGGGGTTGATCCCAGGCGCCTTCGCAGGCGTCAACGTGTACCCATCGTCGTTGGTGTTCGGAGTAAACTTCGGTCCAGACGTAGTCCTCGGAGTTCCAGACCCAGCGGACTCGGGCGCCGACCGCGCGGCAAAACATGCTGAAGCAGTTGGCCCATTCGCCAACTCGGCCACGGCGGGATTGGAGCAGTTGCCACACATCGGAGTATCGGGGGAATCGTTCGTGGGCGGCACAGCTGTTATCAGAGCATCGGTAGAGTTCGACGCGGGTCGCACCACGGGCGGTCTCATCGGGGCTGGGTGGAGTCATGCCTTGCGCGATGGTGGGCATGTGGCACTTGGAGCAAGGAGGGTTGTTGACAAATTGGAAGAAGGATCCCTTGAACCATCTGGCGCATTATGTGAGCAAGGGCGCAGGGAATCTAGACCACTCGAAAATTCCAACATACCTGAGCAATGCACGAATGACACAATCTTGGTAGCCCCATTCCGGCTTCCCTGAAACGCTGGCAGCCGATGCTTGCATGATCTGGGACTCCTCCTCGGCCTCAGAGTACAAGCGATCGAGCGGAATCACACACAAAGCCTCATCCAGAAGACCGGGGTTCTCGTATTTGGTTGGCGTGACCGACAAACCTTTCAGTAGATTAAAGAATTTCAGTGAGGCGGGATCCTGGGGAGGCGATGGCATGATGGGAAGGCCGCGCAGAGCCGATGAAGTTGTGGACGACTTGGGGGGTGTGGCCGGAGCTCCGACCGCGGGCGGTGGTGGCGGCGCCCGTGAGGGAGGTGGTGGAATCGATGAACTGGACATGGGAGATGGTGATGGCGAGTGGGAGCGAGAGTGAGAGCGTTCCTGGAGACGGTTGAGTCGTTTGGTGCGCATCAGCTGTTCGAATTCGCTGGTGAGAGAGGCGGCATCGTAGTCCTTGGGAGACTGTGTCCGTCTGCCGTCCGCCATAGCTGATGAGGGAAGTCACGGCAGACTTCAAGAACGGCGAGTGTTGAAATCCAGGATGGGGGATGGGCGAAAGAGGTCAATTTGACCCAGGGCGGAATTGGGGAGAGAGAAGAACGTGAGGGAAGGGGTGCCGGAAGCGAGAGCAGTAAAAGAAGGGACTGCCACGCTACAGTTGACGTAGCACCAAAAAAATCACGCTTGGAGACGTATGTAGGTCGAAGAGAGTGAGAGGTCCCTTGGAGGAAGAGAGTTGAGAATCGAAGGGTCGCCGGTACGGTGTATTACGAGCGTCGTCAGCGTCTCGCCCCAATCACGGGCCCCGCGGCCAAGCCGCGTGTGCGAAACGGAAAAAAGCCAAGGAAAGGACCCTTTTTTCCTGTAATTTTGCTGCTTCGTCCGTGAACACGTAACTCCCCTTGGCACAACTCGTGGGTTTTTTTTCGAAGGCTTCTTTTTATTTTTCGATTTTGTATCTGTGCACTGTATGTATACTCTATCTTCCCCATAGTATCACTATATAGTCCCTACTATACTCCGACTGTCAAGTCTCATTTTCGTACATACCATTGCTATAATAAGGCTCTACATTCAGGTGGATCTCCACCTTACGTGGCTTATCTGTAACACCTGTGCGGCCCTGAAGCCCTAATGGTCGTCAACATGACATTACCTCGATGTGCGGTGAATTCAGACGATCAAGCATCGGGCTGAACCGCCATTGATATCAAATGACCAGGAAAAAACAAGCGACCAAAAGAAAAAAAAATTAAAATGGACGATTATCAAGCGGTTGCGCGGCCAGGGTACGAAATGGCATATAACATCAGTCAAAGGCTGGAGACGCGCAATCAAAAGGCTTGGCATTTTGCACCGATCGGCCTAGTGCCTCCACCGCCCTAAGCCCCTTTGGGCACTGCTGACACCCCTAATGCGGTTTAGCCCAAGGAGATCTTGGCATCCCATACGAGGTATGTTGCAACTCTTACCATACTTAAGCTCTTCCATGCTTCCATATTTCCATTGACATGCAGATTGAGATGGTACTGAGATCATGGGTATGTACCAGCTGTCGAAAGATCGATTTCGAACTGAACTGCCCCGGTCCACGGGTCCCATGTCAGGTTCCATCCAAGGATGGCTCCAAGATCTACTGTACCGTCTCGACACTACTTATATAGTGGCTGGTATTTGAATCAGGGGTTTGGAGAAGATACTATACTTAGCACACTTCATGGGGTACGGAGTACGAGCACGGAATATGGTTCCTCACTAGCCCTGGAGGGTCATCAGATCCTTAATAATCTGTCCGGAGTATGTCCGGGTGCAACGAGGGTAGCTCTCCGGCATCTCAACGGGAGCAAACCCGATGCTCAGCCCTGAACTTCGGATGTTTATGTCTTCCATCCGGGGAAACCGATGAGCCGCCTTTGTTTCAGACTCCGAGCCGCGTTTGGCCCTAGTAAGATCCATGGATTTCACTACCCTGAGTGGCTGTGCCGTAGGGTCCAAGATCACATGCACATAAGAAGCAGAAAAGTCCATACAGAGGAGAAACGCGCAGAGATTTTTGACTTCAATAATACCTTCCGGGGTCCGCTCAACCTGGAATCACCATATGGTAGTCGCAACATCTGAATTCATCTCAGTCCTCAAGTCCTCAGGGAGATAATTCCAAGGTTGTTCACAATGAGCATATGAATTATTTCTCAGTTGCTTTTTCACCTGAACCTCACATCATGCAAGGCACTAATAATTACCAATACCGCAGAAAAGAAAACAGACTAACAATTCGGGCTCATCGTACCGAGCCCCGGACGCCAAGTGCCAAGACCCGCATCATTGCTTGAAGACCGGGACTAAGACACTGCTTATCCTGGAATCCTTCTGACGTATCCGATGAGCTTGGCTTTACCTTTGTTTTCTTCTCTCATGCCAAGTGCTATCTCCCACCTGTGTGTACGGAGTAGCGGTCCGCGCATCGACTTTCCACGCGTTCAATACCTGCGCGTCTCTCCACACCTCCCGAAGATCAGTCAATCCATGTGACGCCTGAGAGAGTGGCAATCTCTCCTGACCGACGTGCGCGTGCCGTCCCGAGCCAAGAAAGGACACGCACTCAACGGTGTCGTGCTGCAGCTATGGAGTACCAAGTACGGAGTACAGAGCTTGGCCTTGCGTTGACGTGGATCGACGACTCCATACGTTCTTGGTTTTCTCTACCCCGTCGACCCAACAGTTTCCTGCATCTACAGATGTATGAGATAATAGCGCTGGCTAGCGCGGACAGCCTCGTCACGCACTGATCCACCCAAGCTCTTGTGCTGTCGCAAGCTCTTGACGTTGGGATACATTGGATATCATCCATTCGCTTCGTGAGATCTGATCGGCCCAATTGATCAGACCGCTTGGGCCGTCGGGTTTCCTATTTGGGGTTCATTTTTGTCGGTGCGACATGCTCGGTTCTTGTCGTTGGCCCGAGTGTACGCGGCTCTTGCGCCAAATCGTGGAACTAACTGCCCAAGTGGCTAGCGTCGTTTTCATTTCCAGATATGACCTTTTTCATACGGACTCGTATGGAGCACTCCTGGACCACTTTCCTGACCTGGTTAGTCCTCATCGCCTGGGCACTTGTTGTATTATTCCTTGACATATATTGGTGGCGTGATTGGTCCTCGCGTTGTCTACTACCCAGTCCATCGAGTGAGATCCAAGGTGCAAGGGTAGGCTCGCACGCTAGTCATGAGCAAATTTTCTGCTACTCCCACGTCTGCTGCTAATCGAAAGGAGCCCCGTGACTCGCTCTAGCGGATGTCTAGATTGTTATCTTGCGGAAATTTCCGTGCCTGTCGACATCCTGTTCGGAGCCGAGGGCTGAACCGTGCAATCGAACAACAAATTGTTTTTGTCTGTATAAGTTTAAAAGCTATAGGACTGGAAGCTATATGAAACCACTCTTGACACCATCGGTGACTCAGGCATCTTGCAAACTAAATACGACATGTGATATCTCCATAAACGCCGGCTGCTGGTGACAATGAAATAGATACACTCAAGGGCGATATCATCAAAGATGAAAGTCTGGTCGCCAGGTCCCGAAAGCTCAAGACATGCAGAGTTGGTATATAATGGGCTGTCCCCAAAATGCAAAATAAAAGGATGTCCCGGGGTAAAAGCGCCGGGCTGTATGTACAGTGCTCGTGCAGAACGTGACAAAAAGGTTCAAGCCGGTAGGCTATGGCTGAGAGAACAATAGGAAAATCGCTGAAGCTAGAATACATTAGTGGAGAAGTTTGTCGCTGGCTTGGTGAATGACTTGGGCGACCCGGTCGATCCAGTGCTGGGTAAGCTTCCAGTCTCCTGTGTCAATGCTGTCTCGGATAGCAGGGAACAACGAGGAATCGTATCCGGACCACAGCTCTGGGCCAAAGATAACGTGGCGGAACTGGGTACGGTTGGGAATCTGGTGGTTGTTAGCTGGGGTTGAAGGTAGAAGGAAGTGTGGTGATTGACTTACGCCTCCACCTTCCGCCAGGTCAAGGAGATTGGTGTCAAATTTGGCCATTCGAGCGTTATGGTTGACTCGCTGTACTGCCATGACATTGCTTTCATATCCTCCCATGCCCCACACGGTATCATGCCAGATGTTGTTCCATGCCTGGAACTGAGCGGTTTTGGCCTTCATCTCTGCCGAGGCGTTGAACATAGGCTGCATGTCCACCTTGGCATTTTTTGACTTTGCGTACGCGTCCAGGTCTTTCACCCATCCGCCGACAGAATTGCCATAGGCTTCCATGTCAAATGGCAACATGAGATTCTCCGATAGATCAAGCAAGAGGAGTCCCCAGAACTGGGCCAAGATCTTGTGGTATTGGAAGTCGGGGTCAACATTCTGGACCATCCAGTCATAAGTCTCATAGCAGCTGTGGTAGGGATAGGGCTCGCCCTCGAATCCAAAGTCAATGCTCGAGGTGCCAGCGATATCTTGGAATGCAACATAATCACTTCCTGCGCCAAGGGGTTCGAATTTTGAGCCCTTCTTCTCCCAAAGATCTTTCAGCGTGGCGTTCGCATATGGGTCTGAAAGTCGGCCCAAAATTTGCATCACCGTGCGTTCAAAGACAGGTGACGCCGATACGCGGAAGTCAGGGCCAGCTACGCCGACATCGACGTTTAGATAGGCATAGGCATTTGCGCGAAGGTCATCAACTTCTTTCTCAACATGTTCCGTTGAGCCAATCAAGTTATACTCTTCGCCATCCCAACTAACAAACTCGATGGTGCGGATTGGCCGCCAGCCGTAGGTGAGCAGCTCACCAAAGGCACGTACAACCTCCAGGAACGCGGCCGTGCCACTTCCAGGGTCAACACTTCCCATGCACCAGGAGTCTCGGTGATTGCCAACAATGATCTTTTTATCACGCTCGTCCATTCCAATGATTTTGGCGTGAATGTTGTAAATGGGTTGTCGTTCTACTTCATCTTGCAGATTCATCAGGTGGACGACCGGGGAGTTCTGATCACCGGTCCACCAGTCCACTTTGGGTACACCTCCTACCCACTCTTTCGGTACTTTTGAGCCATGGCCCTTCAGGCCTTGCAAGAGCCGCTGTGCGTCACGCCAGGCAAGGGGAAGACTGGGAATCTTGGGCAGCCCAAGACTGTCCGCCGGGGATAAACGATGTTTCTCTCCCGGCGTAGATGCCCACCCGGGGGAGAGAACATCTCCAACCACCTGCGACATCATACTAACACCGCCTCTTTGCACGCCATCACTGGGCATGTACCGGCCTTCGGGGTAGGCCGGGCCATGGACGAATCCATCTTCGGCAGGATCAGAGTAGATGATGCAGCCGGCCGCACCGGCAAGTTCGGCAGCCTTGATCTTCAAAGCACGGTCAGACTCGGTTCCGTAGTAACGAACCAAGGCGATGGAGCCTTGCAATGCTATTCCCTTGTCTGCGAGCAGCTTGAAGTCCTCGCGGGAACCGTAGTTGGCATACACCAAATGTCCTGTGACATTTCCTGACTTGGAATGTCCGTGGAAGACTAGATCTTTGGCATTGTCCTCCTCTAGCTTGGCCTCCCATGCCAAATTGGGTGGATCAATGATTGCCACCCGTCTCCCATCCTGGCGGGGATAGTTGAGGTAGACCTGGAACTCCTCCCGCGAGACTTCGTCAAAGCCTGCTTTGTGAAACTCTTGCTCAATGAGCTGTGACAGTGCAAAGCTGCCCTCTGTGCCGGCGACGTGGGTGTAGTTTGTGACTCGGCGCAAATTCTCGGCGATGTTGGTTTCGTTGATGTGACCTTGGATGAAGTTTTCGACGGAAGCCGCACTGTATTGCTGACCCATGGCCATGCGACTGTTGATATTGAAGATATCGGCGATGAAGAACACGTAGACCAGAGAAACCACTAGTAAGAGGGCAAATAGCCGTAAGAGCATAATACAACCTTGATCTTTCAAGCGCGACCTCACATCCCCCACGTTTATTGTGAAGCGGAAGTTGGGCATGTATCTTTGGAACGGACGTTGGATGTTGGACAGCGCACGGCTTAGGCTAGAGAGTTGCTTGGAAAATCGATGTCGTAAGGGAGGGCGTCCGGTCCGCGAGGTCGCGGAATCATCCACGTCCATTTGGTCTAGCTCTCTTCGTAGTTCTTCGGTCGACCCCCGATCCGAGTGGGAGGCGGCGGATTCGAGGTCATCGAGACTGGTGCGCGCGGATTCCACGGTGGGTGGGTGGTAACCGCGGGGGACATCGCGACGATTCTCGCGAGCGAGCAGGCCTTCTCGTTCCACATCGGTTCCATCACCCAGGTCTGATCGCGAGGAGGAGGGTTGGCCGGTGGCTTCTGCGTATGAGGGGATGGGGACGGCCTGGTAATCAAACTTCTCGTCGCCCATAGTGGATAACCGGCTCCGGGGAGCTGTAGCGGGGATTCGATGGGGTCGGGCAGATCATGATCTATTGGAGTGACAAATGAGCGACCGACACCCCATCGATACGAATAGTCGATGGTGTTCAGGGGAGATGTATAGGAGAGAAGCAGGCAGACGCCCCCCGGACACCGACCCACGTCTCGGCAACTTTCATTACGCAGCATTGGCATCGGCATTGGCATTGGCGTTTTCCCAAGGGCATTCTGGTATTCTCTGTTCGATCCAGATAATTCATTACCTTGGAAAAGAACTGTCTACATTATCCCAGAGGTCCATTGTTTTTGCAGGATCTACTAGTCCTGGAATTGTAAGCCAATAAGACCCGGTCCACCTGGTGTATGCGGTGTGCGTCGGGGATACGAAACGCCTCTTGACCTTGGGGGAAGTGAATCCATACAGAGTGACTAGCAAATCAAAAGTGAACCCGTCGAAAATTGAAAAAAATCATGTCGATCTCGGTCATAGCCTGCTGCAGGGCTGCCCAGTTGCATGAACAGGGACCCTCGTTATATATAATGGTCTGGCGAGTTCGCGGGTACAGTTGATACTACCTCGTACACCAAACCCTTCCCAGGTGATCCGGAGTGATGCCATGCATATATATCCAAAGTCACACTAGTACTCCGTACTAGTAGATTGAAGAATGGCGTGGAACCGTGAAACAGTGAAACCGTGCAATAGTCCGTTAATAGGAGAAAGGGTGGAGTAGATCGATAAGATGGACTCAGTTCTACACCGTAGCTTATGTTCAGATGCGCTAATTTCCTTGGAAGGGATGTTCGAAAGGCAGTGGGAATCAGTATATACAGTATATACTAGTTGGATGTTGTGTGTATGGAAGTCCGCAGTATGCAGTACTGGTACCCGTGGACTGGCACTGTAGATGTAGTATACCAGTATATGTACTTTGCCCTGGAGTTGACAGGGCAGTACAGTAGTCAGGAACCAGTATTAAAGATGCAAGATCCGAAATTCGGCTCAAAGGAAGAGCTCCACTGAACAGAAAATTGTAGAGGGTGACAGATCGTACACTGTAGATCCGAGTACACAGACTCCTTTTCATGGAATTTCATATATTTATCTCCCTGCACTTCCACTTCTCATTCACTCCTGCAATACTCTTCTTCCCTTCATTTGTTTGACTTAGCTGTTGGCTTCAAAAAAAAAAAGTTCACCCCTCCATACCCCACCATCACCATGGCCGCTCGTCCCCAAAACATCGGTATCAAGGCCATTGAGGTCTACTTCCCTTCTCAGGTGAGTTGGAAACAAAATGTGAATTGCTGCAATATCAGTACTAATTACCCCTTAGTGCGTCGACCAGACCGAGCTCGAGAAGTACGATGGTGTCAGTGCCGGAAAATACACCATTGGTCTCGGCCAGACCAAGATGAGCTTCTGCGATGACCGTGAGGGTATGGATCATGAAACCCGGAATGGCGAGAAACAAAGGAAGCAAAGCTAATTGAATCATCGGCAGACATCTACTCCATGGCTCTGACCACCCTCTCCTCCCTCCTCAACAAGTACAACATCGACCCCAAGTCCGTGGGTCGCCTCGAGGTCGGCACAGAGACTCTCCTGGACAAGTCCAAGTCTGTCAAGTCCGTCCTGATGCAGCTCTTTGCTCCCCACGGCAACACCAACATCGAGGGTGTCGACAACGTCAACGCTTGCTACGGTGGTACCAACGCCGTCTTCAACAGCATCAACTGGCTCGAGTCCTCCGCCTGGGACGGCCGTGATGCCGTCGTGGTGGCTGGTGACATTGCCCTCTACGCCGCTGGCGCTGCCCGCCCCACCGGTGGTGCCGGCTGTGTTGCCATGGTCATCGGTCCCGATGCCCCCATTGTGTTCGATGCCGGTCTCCGTGCCTCCTACGTCACCCACGCCTACGACTTCTACAAGCCCGACCTCACCTCCGAGTACCCCGTTGTCGACGGCCACTACTCCCTGAAGTGCTACACCGAGGCCGTCGATGCCTGCTACAAGGCTTTCGACGCCCGTGAAAAGACCCTGAAGGGTCAGACCAACGGTGCCAACGGTGCCGCCGATGAGACCCAGACTGCTCTCGACCGTTTCGACTACATCCTCTTCCACGCCCCCACCTGCAAGCTCGTCCAGAAGTCTTACGCCCGCATGCTGTACAACGACTACCTGGCCAACCCCTCCCACCCCGCTTTCGCCGAGGTGGCTCCCGAGCTCCGCGATCTCGACTACGAGAAGTCCCTCTCCGACAAGGTCGTTGAGAAGACCTTCATGGGTCTGACCAAGAAGCGCTTCGCTGAGCGTGTCAACCCCGGCCTCCAGGTCGCTACCCAGTGCGGTAACATGTACACCGCCACCGTCTACGGTGGTATCGCCTCCCTGCTCAGCAACGTCACCTTCGACCCCAAGGAGCCCAAGCGCATCGGTCTTTTCTCCTACGGCTCCGGTCTTGCCAGCTCCATGTTCAGCGCCAAGATCGTCGGCGATGTCTCCCACATTGTTGAGAAGCTGGACCTCCAGAACCGCCTCAACGCCCGCACCGTGCTTGAGCCCGCTGCCTACGATGCCATGTGCAAGCTCCGCGAGCACGCCCACTTGAAGAAGGACTTCAAGCCCTCTGGCAACGTTGAGACCCTCGGCTCCGGTGTTTACTACCTGACCGAGGTGGACGACATGTTCCGCCGCAAGTACGAGATCAAGGCTTAAGTGGTCTTGTTGTTTTGATGTTCTGTGATTGCCTTTACCGTTGGATACCATTTAGACGGTTCAGAGAGATTCCCCCGAGCGTTTTATTTTTTTAATCAAGCTGGTGTATAGACAGTTTGCCAATCCCCCCTTTTTCAATTGGGTGTTAGTCATTCCAAGGTTGGAATGAAGTTATGAAATAATCAAAATGATATAATGACATTCAAATCATCCCATCGTGGTAACAATTAGTGAGAGAATCCTGTACTTTTTACGGAGTAGTGCGTCCTGCATTAGTGTATCCCGTTGAAACACTGGGGCAGGGGTTCGCGATCATGCCTCGCGACTTCACACTTCTCCACTTCCAGCACTACACCTCTGGACCCTCCCTTGCTAAGGTTAACATTTTTGGCACCCCGTTGTGTCAAATGGTTGCTAATTATGGGAGTTTTCACACTTTACCATATATTCTACCACCAATCACTGCTCATCACGCCGATCCGGCGCGTACTTGAGACTCATCCCACATCTGTAGCCGCCGACATTGATATCACATCCCCACAGCGCATCGACAGCTCGTTCAAAACAGTTCAATCCGGCTTGAACCCTGGCTTCATGACCTCCTCACAGGCTAAATCCCCCCAAGTGCCTATTTTTAACTCCCTGGACTTGCCCTCTTGGCCCTCTAACCGCCCATCCAACGAGTCCTTAGGCAGCGTCGCCAACAAGACCGCTAATTTACCTTGAACAATGTGACCTAATTGTTGCCGAATTTAGAACTGCTCTTTCATCTTGCAGAGGACTAACTTCTTCGGGGAATCTGAAGACTGCTTTGGCAGCAGATACCAACTATAGCAACATCTTGACGCGCGACTGTCCGATGAAACCGCACTATACCCAACCTGTCCTCCTCACTGCAGCAGTTTCAAGTGTTTCTGTCGCGCGACATGGTCCTTCAGGCTCAGTGTCGGCAGTTTCGCGTTTCATCGCGTGGCTATTCCTACAGATCGGAGACTAGGATCCCAAAAAAAGAATGCCAGGCCCTGGCGTCACGATGGGGCTCTTCTCCATGTTTCATCTTTTCTAGATCCGCGACAGTTCGTCAGTCGATCTTTTTATATGCATATTGCTTGGCTGTTTGAGCTTTGGGGCTTGTCCATTTAATATCCATATACCTCCTCATGTTTTGATCATCTGCAAGACTTCACTTCCCTTCGTTGATCACTATTGTTGACAAGATTTAACGACGTCGATCATGGCTGTCGAACACGCTCGCTACCGGCCAACTACGCCGCCACGTCTTCCTCTTGAAGAGTACATCGGCTCTGGGCGTAGTCGCCATGCCTCCACTTCGTCTGTCTATTCGGGCGAGTCATCTCCCTGGTCTACAGTCACCGGCAATACCAGCCCTGCTACCTCGCCAACTAGACATCATCATGGCCCGGCTCTACTGCCTAAGATTCGACCTCAGGATGTTGTCGTTGAGCCTGTTTCCAATGGTGGACCTCTGCGTCACCGTCGAGTTCTTTCGAACACTCGAAACCCACCTGGCTTCATGCCGTACCCACCAAGCCGGCCATCCACCAGTCGTCAAAAGCGCGAGATTCTTGATCGCCTGACATTGGCTTCTCCGGTATCGCCTTTACCAATGGCCGTTCAGGGTAGCTGCTCTGCCTTGTCATCGCCAGTTACTCTCACCCCGTCATTCAAGCGGAAAACAGGCGGCCACTCGCGCTCAGTCTCGGCCTCTGGCGTTGATGCCGAAACCATCAGCCGCTATGGCTATCCCACCTACCGTGAACTCCCCAAATACATGCCTCAGATGCAGGCTCAAACGACACCCACAACACCTGTCACTCCAGTCACTCCAAATATTGTGCTTTACCCGTCCTACCCGCAACGACTAAGTGGCCCAGCGCCCCTATGCACGAATCCATTGACCGTCCCCAACCCTCACTATTACCGATCATCCGCTCAGCCTTCACCTGCCTTGTCCAGTCCTCAAGAGGACCTGCCACAGTCGACGACCCTGCTTTCCTACCTCACCCGCTCTATCCAGCCAATCAACCTAGTGCGCAACGTAAGTGTAGTTCCAACTCGCGGCATGCACGACTATTTCTGGTGGGACATCCGCAATTTGCGCAGCTGGAAATCCTTCTCCCTGGCCAATTTCGGCTCCCTGGACAGTTGCCTCATCCAGCTCCTCAGAACCGAGATTCCGGGCCACCGCACACCCGCCGTGACAGTATCACCGGCCTCTCTAGCCCCGGAATCCGAGCCAGCCCTTGTCTCGCTGATTCGAGACTTATATGCCCCGAGAGTCAATGCCGCATTGGCTGTTTCTCAGGGCGATGACCACCTCCAGCTGTACGCTGCACCCGACGTCCGAAACACAGGACACAAAAACCACGGCCATCCCCATTTTTTGGCCAACTACGCCTCCGATACAGAGCATACAAGTGCCGGTCTTCCCCGCGGCCGATTAGTGGGGATAGTCAAATCCTTCGATCGCTGGAACACCGGTATGCGAAACGAAGCCCCCCATCGTCGCGTCGAGTACCTCAACGGTTTAGCCCACCTCCAACGCTGCATGCGAGAACACTCCTGCCGATATGGCTTCATCATCACGGAAATCGAACTCGTCTGCGTGCGCGCAGGCTGCGACACAGGCGATGATGTCCCCTATTTTGGATTCCTGGAGATCGCCGCCTCAATTCCTCTCAAAACCGCTTCGACTGGCCTGCGCCGCGATTGTCCTCTCGCAACGCCTATTAGCGCGCGCTCATTCTCATCCTCCTCCTCTACTTCTTTTCCTCCTGAGTCTCCAATCGTCGAGGACACAGATGATGTTCCGATGACTGCTAGTCTAGCATTGTATTTCTTATTGATGCTTTCCCGCTCTTCTCCGCTTCCGAACCAGCCCTCTGCTCATCTCAACGTTGGTGGGCCTGGTGCGTTGACTCGTCAACGAATTCTGTCCGAGCCCAAGGATAAATGGATCCCGGAGCCGCAGATTGGGGAGCGTCGGGATGCCAAAAGGGTTCGAGGGTGGGTTTGGCCCATGGATGCTTGGCACCGGCGAGAGGGAGGTGGTGCCCCGAGATTGAGGGAGAAGAAGAAGTGACATTGCCGTGTTCCGTGAGCTTTTTTTTTTCTAATTTTCTTTTTCCCACCTGGAACTCTGAAGGGGGGTTGTTTGATTCTGTTGGAATTTTGGAATTTCGGACTTTTGGTGTTTTCGTTGGATTTTTTCCTTTTGTGTTTCGGTGTCCGGTGGCTTGGTGCTTTTCTATTCCCCTTGTCTTTGATAGTAATTTCGTTCCCTTATATTTCACTTCAGACATCTGTCAAATAGTACATATTGATACCTTTTTTTTTTACACCTTTGATGGCGCAGTGGGGTACGCAGCCCCAAGGTACTCAAAATAGCATGCAGTTGATATCAGATCAACGCCAATTGTGGGGAGATCAGCCAACTGATACACCCTCAGCCGTGTTCAAACGACCCACCGCTTTGTTTCTGAAGACTGCCACATATTCCTGTGAATGAGGATGTATTCATGCTGATATTGAGGCATGTTGATGACCAGCTTCTTGATGTACGAATTGCTTGATGATCGTAGGGAATACCCGACCCCGAGCGGCCTAAATGTCCCATCTTAGCTAGAATCGCTGCTCGCACGCCCAAAAATGGTACTTAGACATTTCATAAGGGAAGAATACCAACCCTTTCTGTTTCAACCAGTGGATACGATTTTTGCTGGGTATGAATGGCAGTGTGTCCAATCTATTGATCTCCAACAGAGCGGAGCTAGGACCATACAGTGTCACGCAAGCCCTAAGGACCTTGGGGAAGAGTACCTCGATGGCCAACTCATGTGAGGACATTGCAGTCAGGCATCATGCAGTAATAAAATAGTATAAAAGACAATAGATTCCTCTTATGCCAGCTACTTCGAAGCCCCTTCGCTCCCCCAGTCCAATACAGCGGTTTATAAAAGAGCACTGATATTCGACAACACCTTACCCAAGATGACCTCTTCACAGCCTCTCCCAGATGAGAACGAGATCCGCGATGTAATAATCATCGGCGCTGGTCCCTGTGGCCTCGCCGTCGCAGCACGATTGAGCGAAGAAACCCCATCCGCAGTTTTTACAGACGAAGAACACCAACGGTACCACTGGATCAAGAAACACAGCGGAAAGATGAGCCTTGCCCAAGCCCGGCACAACAAGATAGGCGGATTACGGGCAATAAAGTGGGATAGCGAGAAACAATGTCTTTGTGATGACCGTGGTCGACGAGATTCAACGAACTCAACTTCTTCGGTTCCATCTTTGACTGAATCCTCGTCCTCACCATCTTCCTCTACACTGGTACTTGATGGATCGGGTGACAAATGGATGCAGCGTTGGAACAATGCATTCAAGACCCTCGAGATCCAACAGCTTCGCAGTCCGATGTTCTTCCATGTCGATCCAGGTGATCGGGATGGTATGCTGGCGTATACACAGGAGACTGGAAGGGATTCCGACCTGTGGGAGATTCCAAATTGTGTCGGAAAGGAAATGAGCAAGCATAAAAAGAAGAAGAGAAGACAGGGTGGGAAGAACCAGTGAGTACTTGTCGCTGGATGGTGACTTCGAATGATTTTCTGACGCTGTACTTTCTGCAGAACCATCGGAGGTGAAATCGATGAGAGAGACAGAAAAGATTATTTCTCCCCCTCGACGGATCTGTTCGCCGATTACTGCGATTCAATCATCGATCGATACGGCCTGGACGAGCCGGGTCAAATATTACAACGCGAGGCAACTGATCTTTCCTATGGTTATTTGTCGGACAACTCAACATCAAAGGTGTTCACCATCACCACCTCCACTGGAGAGAAATTTTACAGCCGGACTGTCGTTCTTGCCATTGGGCCTGGTGGAGCAGGAGTGTCAAAAATTCATCCGTGGAAGCCAACGTCCGAGCAAGAGGGATCTGCTGCGTGTTGCCACAGCATGGAAATCAAGCAGTTCCCTAGCCCAGGTGTAGCCCAGAAGATTCAACGACGACAGGAGACGAACGTTGTCGTCGTTGGAGGCGGGTTATCTTCAGCACAGATCGTTGATATGGCTGTCCGCAAAGGCGTGACAAAAGTGTGGTTCTTGATGCGATCTGGATTGAAAAGTTCGTACATGCAAATCGACCAAATGATTCCATGTGATATCATAGCTAACCTCGAGACCAGTCAAGCATTTTGATATCAATTTGTCATGGATGGGCAAGTATAAAAACTGGGAGAAAGCAACCTTCTGGTCTGCCGACACCGACGAAGGTATGACAAGCCATGTATCCATCCCATCTACTCCGTAAACCTAACATCATTAGAACGACTTGAAATGCTCCAAACCGCCCGCAACGGAGGTAGCATCACACCGAGATACACGAAGATCGTGAAGCAACATGCTGCGCGAAACCGCGCCTCTATTCACCCCTGCACGGAAATCAAGACACATGAATTCAACCCAGCAACACAAACCTGGTCCCTAACAACCGACCCGCCAATTCCAGATCTACCTCCAATCGACTTTATCTATTTCGCAACGGGAGCGAAAGCCGACGTGCGCGAAATGCCACTCCTTCGTGAAATGAATGATCAATACCCCATTGAGGTCAAATCAGGTCTACCTTGCCTGACGAACGACTTGTCGTGGAGGAATGACGTGCCACTTTTCATGACGGGACGCATGGCGTCCCTACGCCTTGGGCCGGGAGCACCGAATCTAGAGGGGGCCCGAATGGGCGCAGAACGAGTCGCGTGGGGCATTGAAGAAGTATTACAGAAAAGCGAGAAGGCCGATGAGCAGTGTGAGGGATTCTGCGGCCTTGGTAATCGGTATGCCTCATTGGTGGACGAATAAGTACTGTCTCACGGGGTCTGTGCCAGAATACAAGCCTTCACGGCATGTGCGAATCTATACTTCCTAAAATGGACTTATTTCAAACCGTTGATCCTGTTTCAAGTCGCACCAGGGGGTGATCACTGGAGATCACGAGGCTTCTGCTGGATGAATTACCCAAAGAAGTAGCAAAATCTGGCATTTATCCCTTCATTCCATATGCTTGTCGGGGTACATATCCCATGCGTCTGCCGAGGATAACCCGGGGTTAGAGCCTTGCTGGGTCTGCTGCGTCAACTCGGAAGAATGTCTTGATCCCTTGTCCCCTGTATACGTCGGGGGATTTAAAGTACTAGAAATTAGCCAACGCCGCAAAGAATGCAACGTTGTCTGAAACGATAGAATCGCCCGGTGATTTTGGTCAAGTGCAAGCGACAACGACATGGCTGATACCACCAAAAGTCCAGCAGATATGGAGGCACCTGCAGAGCCTTCAATGGAGGAGCTCAAGGCCCTGCCGAACAACACCCATCCAAATTGGATCAAGGACGACGGCCTGAGGAAGTTGAACTTCGGGATACTTTTCATGTACTCAACTGCGTCCTCGGCGGGGTACATTGGGAACTTGGTAAATAGCCTGCTGGTGCTCCCTGAATGTAAGCGTCCTTGCTCGAACTCGCAACCTGACTCTAATCCGTGCAATTGAAGTTGGCGTCATCGTCGGTGGCCTTGATCCGAACATAGTCGGATTGATCATCGCAGCATGTTCTCTCGGCGCATTCATCTCTTTCGCACCAGCGTCCTATATTGCTGATAGGTTCGGGCGCAAGATATGCGTCGGAATCGGAGCCGCTCTGACTATCGTCGGAGGGGTCGTCGGGGCCGCGATTCAGGATCACTGGGCCTTTTTCGGTGCAAGAATTCTGTCGGGTATCGGTATGGGTATTGCCCAGACTGCGGCTCCTCTCCTGGCCACCGAGATCGCGCATCCACGTCAGCGCCAGACTGCCACGGCGCTTTACAATGCGTGTTGGTGTTTAGGGGCTATTGGATCAGCGGCTGTCACCTATGCAACGATTGGATTGGCCAACAGCTGGTCGTGGCGAGTGCCTTGCCTGCTGCAAGTAGCATATCCCCTGTTTCAAATCTTAGGATTAGTGTTTTTCGTACCCGAGAGCCCAAGATGGCTTGTGTCAAAGGACCGAAGGGATGAAGCACTGGTTATACTGGAGAAGTACCACGCCAACGGGAGCACAGAAGACGAGTTGGTGAAGCATGAGTTCGAGCTGATCTGCACCACGATCAGAGCCGAGATGGACAACACCAAGGGCTGGAGCTCGTTCTTCGAGTCCAAGGGAGATGTTCACCGTTTGACCATCTGTGTGCTGGTTGGATTGATGCAGGAATGGGCTGGAAATGGTAGGATATCCATTCCTTGTAGCGAATCGTCTCTAACCACATCGCAGGGATCCTGTCGTACTATCTCGCCCCGATTCTCGGATCGGTGGGCATCACCAAATCTGCAGACCAAGCCGGTGTCAACGTGGGCCTGCAAGCCTGGAACTTCGTCATGTCAGCAGCCGGCGCTGTTGCGTCCGAACGATACGGTCGCCGTCTTCTTTGGCTGCTTTCCACGTGTATCATGATCGTCTTTTTGTCATCGTCCACCTTGGCTGCTGGTCTATATGCTGAACAGCATATCTCGTCTGCTGGGTTGGCCACGGTTCCTCTCCTTTTCCTCTTTTTTGGAGGATACGACATTGCTTATGCCCCCCTGTTCATCTCGTATCCCGCTGAGATCCTACCCTTCCAGCTGCGCGCCAAGGGGATTGCTGTCACCCTCTCTGTGGATGCTGTGGCTTGTTTCTTCAACCAATATGTCAACCCAGTGGCGTTCACGGCTATCCAGTGGAGATATTACTGTGTCTTCCTTGGGTGTCTGGTTGCATTCTTGGCCCTGATCTACTTCCTATTCCCGGAAACAAAGGGACGATCGTTGGAAGAGATTGCAATGATTTTCGACCAGGAAGACGAATCAAGGCGAGATGAGAAAAAGCCAGTCGAGTAAATAGCTTCAATATATAGCTTCAATATGATATCTCTCAACATTGAAGAGAAGAGAAGCAAAAGCCAATGGCCATAATCCATAGTCCAATCAGGGGCGGGCCGTTGGTAATGTTTCCCCGCAAACCTTGGAAAACGCGCTGCAACATCGTATTCTTCCTTTTGCATCGCCAGTCCTCCACTGGTTTCACTATAAAGGGCTTGTGTTCCCTTCAATCTAGCTGATAATGATAAAGTGAAGCCCACACCCCCCGCTTGAATCCCACCAACGAGCCCCAACCTCTCCAAGTTCGCCCTGCATCATGAAAGACCCATCCAGCCCCAAACAGCTTCGCTTCCTCGTCATAGGCGCTGGTTCTCGTGGCAATGCCTACGCCCGTGCCGTGACCAATGCTACAACAGGCGTCATTCACGCCGTGGCCGAACCGCATGCCGTGAAACGCCGCGAATTCGGCCGCAGCTACATATGGGAAAGAGCTTCCAGCGCTGGGCAGGAGTTCGCAGATTGGCGCGAATGGCTATCGTACGAACTTGAGCGCCGAAACTCGCCCAATTCAACTAGCACTGTTGGCGTGGATGGTGTGTTTATCTGTACATTGGACGAAACACATGTGGAGATTGTCCAGGCTCTTGCTCCACTGAAGCTTCACATGCTCTGCGAGAAACCCCTTGCTCTCTCGTTGGATGATTGTTTGACGGTTTACCGCACGCTCCAGCCGCCACAGGGCTCGATTCCAGCGCCTGCGGAGAAGATATTCTCAATCGGGCATGTCCTTCGGTACAGTCCGCATAACATCCTCCTCCGAAAACTCCTCGCAGATCGCGCAATTGGGGACATAGTTTCCCTCGAACATTGTGAACCTGTCGGGTGGTGGCACTTCTCACACAGCTATGTGCGCGGGAACTGGCGACGCGCCACACCTGCGGGGGATGGGTCCCTCCTTACAAAGTCTTGTCATGATATTGATTTCATCATGTGGCTCCTCTGTTCCCCGCCTAGCCCGGATGCGGGCACGCAGCAAACACTCCAGCCTCATTTTCCGCGGTCCATCTCCTCTGCTGGAACTATGACGCAGTTTCGTCGCAAGCGCAAACCCGCCGCTGCGGGTGATGCGACGAATTGTCTCTCCTGTCCTGTGGAGCGAGACTGTAGCTATAGTGCTGTGAAGATCTATAATGATCGGCATTTGGCCCAAGGACATGCGGCCTGGCCTGTTGATATCGTTTGTCCTGATATCGAGGATGTTTTCCGTTCGCAAGGAAGCAAAGCTGCCGAGTCGTTGCTCCTCTCCCGTCTCGGCGAGGACTACGATCGAGCTACGGTGGCCGATGAGACTATAGCCTCACGGCCCTGGTATGGGCGGTGCGTTTATGAGGCAGATAACGATGTCTGTGACGACCAGGTGGTGACGCTCGCTTGGGACGACGAAGAAACGGTGCCACATCGGCTTGCCAAAACGGCCTCCTTCCACATGATCGCCCCTACCGAAAAACAATGTGAGCGACGAGGCCGGGTCTATGGTACGACCGGTGAAATCTCGTATGATAGTCACTCGATCTCAATCTACGGCTTTGCAACACAGAAGACCTCTACCATTAATGTGCCAAAGCCCCCTCCTGACCAGAAGGAGTCACATGGCGGTGGTGATTACGGACTTGCCAGGCAGTTTGTCGGTGCCGTCGAGGCAGTTGAGAACGGCGGGTTGGACGTTGAAACCGCACAGGCACGGTTTGTTGGGTGCTCGCTCGAAGAAGTGGTTCGCAGTCATGCCGTTGTATTCGCGGCTGAGGAGGCCAGGCGGGAAGAGAAGGTTGTGAAATGGGAAACCTGGTGGAGTGACAAATTGAGAGACTCTGCTGCTGCATGGAAGGCGAGAGCGTAGCTCATTGCGAAGCGAAGCAATTACGAAGCGAAGCGAAGCAATGACAAAGCGAAGCAATTACGAAGCGAAGCAATGACAAAGCGAAGCAATAGCGAAGCGAAGCGAACTTCCAGAAAATTGGATCGCAATTACTTCGAATCTTTCATGATTATATTTTTGGTCATAAGGTCAGAGACTAAGCAGCCCTGGGATACCTGGATATAAGATGGCCCCCGGATATATAGGTACATAAGGTAGGTAGATATTCGCGTTACATCATAGATCCATACCTACCTACCTATAGGTACTATGTACTACAGCTAGGTAGTACCTAGTAGGGAGTTAGGTATGTTAGGACAACCCTTGGAATTTAAGGGCATAAGTCACTGGTCTTCCAAGGTTGGGTAGAAGAGTGAATTATTGTGCCTCCTGCCTACCTAGTCGGTATTGGGAACACAGTGGAAGACGATCCATCAATGGAAGTACTTATATGGGATGTTCCCATGCAAGGCAAAGAACCTTCTAGGATGCACACCAGTGGACCGTGGACCTAGGCAGGTAATGTCCAGGTCCACGGTGTACTAGGTAGGATCGTCCATGGATATGTACATTGACTACAGCCCTAAAGGTTCTACCAAGCAAATGAATTGTAGTGTCCTTGCAGAAGTCCAAATTGCCTATGTCAACACAGCAATTGGTTGTCCTTGGGTTTATTTTAAGAATGTCATCAGCTATGCAAAATGTATCCAGCATGTACAATATATGTGAAGCGAGGGAAACCTGAGGTGGGTGAAAGAGCTGATCTGTGAATATATATCATAAGATAGGTGAAATGTGGTGCTCTGTGCGGAGCTATGCTAGTATATACAAACGTTCCAAGGTTAGAATAATATGTACTATGCTTGTATATCTCCAAGGCTGCCATATCACCTAGGTAATAGTTCCAAATATATTGATGTTTATGCCAATGTTATTGTTGATGTTTGTCTGTTTGGTCTGTTTTGCCTGTTTGTATGCGGACAGAATGTTGGAGGCAAACGATGCCTCAGGCCAAAGGGGAGTTGTCAGGTCAACCGACCAGGCTAGTCCTAAACGGGTAAGGTTCACCATAACAGTGGCATGGCAGCTACCAAAACATCTTGACATCTTCGACTGTGTTGATTCCTTTTCTCCTAACCCCTCCCCACAGGTAAAAGAATCCTCCTTTTATTCTTACCAGCTCCCACTCTCCGACTCTGAGCATGAGCCTTTGAAACCCTGTACTGCGACCATTCTCTTACCCATTGGCTTCGCTATTTTCCGAGTCGCACCGGCAAAGTACCTACAACGGTACTAACTCGATCTATCTTGAATCGACGTTACACCCTACTTGCAAGCCTGGACTGTCAATAAACACCAAAACCCAATATGACTACCGACTTGAGCCACGGCGGCCAGATGATCGAGTACATCCAAGGTCCGTAAAATGTTTTGGAACAATTTACGCAGTGACAATATGGTGTGGAATGCTAAATCAAGTTTCGCTTTAGATCGTCTTTACCTCGCATCCTACGACTCTGCTCCCAGCTCCAGGACGCCGTTCCCTTTCCAGTTGGATCAGCCCAAATCCCCAAGCAAGCGTGCGCGTGCGCAACCCGCCACACCAAGCAAGCGCCGATCACCCGTGTACTTCACCATTGACGACACTTTGCTCTACAATGCATTCCACGCTGATTTCGGTCCTCTCCACATCGGTCACCTGTACCGGTTTGCTGTTCTGTTCCACGAGATCTTGGGTGACCCAGCCAACAGCGACCGCCCTGTGGTGTTTTACAGCAAGACTGATGCGCGCAGTCGGGCAAACGCAGCTTGTCTGGTCGCATGCTACATGGTGATGATCCAATCGTGGCCACCCCATCTGGCTCTGGCGCCCATCGCGCAGGCTGATCCCCCCTACATGCCTTTCCGTGACGCCGGATACAGCCAAGCGGATTTCATCTTGAACATTCAAGACGTTGTGTATGGCGTGTGGAAGGCCAAGGAACAGTCCCTCTGCGGGCTTCGCGACTTCAACCTCGAGGAGTGAGTATCGACCATCCCGTGTTTCCGAACTTCCAATACTGACCCGGCCTCAAGATACGAGAAGTTTGAGCGAGTTGACATGGGTGATTTCAACTGGGTTACCCCGGATTTCCTTGCCTTTGCTTCCCCCCAGCAACAGCCAGTCGCACCCATCCCCGTCAACACTCCCGAGTACGACGCATTGCCCACCACGATCTCGGAGATCTCCTCATCTAAGCTCCCCATGCCATTCAAGAATGTCCTTGCCCATTTCCACCAGCGCAATGTGGGTCTTGTCGTGCGACTCAACTCAGAGCTCTACTGCCCTTCATACTTCACCGCAATGGGAATCTCTCATATTGATATGATCTTTGAGGATGGCACTTGTCCTCCCCTGCAACTCGTGCGGCGCTTCATTAAGATGGCCCACGAGATGATTACTGTGAAGAAGAAGGGTATTGCAGTCCACTGCAAGGCTGGTCTCGGTCGTACGGGCTGCTTGATTGGTGCCTATCTGATCTACAAGTATGGATTCACTGCCAACGAAGTTATCGCATTCATGCGTTTCATGCGTCCTGGCATGGTCGTTGGACCCCAGCAGCACTGGCTTCACCTCAACCAGGGCTCTTTCCGTGAATGGTGGTTCGAGGATAGCATGCGCGAGAAGCTCGCTCAATCCATGCCAGCCACCCCAAGGGTCTCCACCAAGAAGCGCAGCAGCAACGGCGTGGTTTCTACTCCTCCCAACAACAGCCACTCCAAGCGCGCAGCACTCGGAGAGATCGACAACAACGATGCGGCCGCTTACCCAGACCAGGATCTTCCCGCGCCGACACCCGGTCAACCTCGCAAGTCCCACCGCAAGGACTCACGCCACCACCCTTACTCTCGCACCGCCTCAGGAAACCTGGCCGTCGAGAGCGAGCAGAGAGTCCCCCGCAGTCACCGAAAGAGCAACGAAAGTAGCGAGAGCGAGGAAGAGATTCAGCTCCGCAGACTCGCCAAGCGATCTTCAAGATCTCCCGTCGCATCACCCACGTCGCGGTCTATCAGCTACTCCGCAACTGTCACGGCTAGTTACACCCTCGCCGAAGACAACCACCATGACCAAGAGAACTGGGTTGGCCACTCGGCGCCGAAGACTCCAGTCAGCCGGAAGAGCGGTACCGCCCCGATCTCTGTGAGCAAGGTCCGCTCGAGCCCTCGCCGAGTGACGGACAGCAACCGCAGCGAGTCTCGTGGGGTTCGCAAGCCCAGCGGCCGTGTCGGTAGCAACACTATCAGTCCAGCCCGTGCAACCAAAACAGTCCACTAAATACCTGCTGTTCTGATTTCTCTTTTTTTCTCTTTTTCATTCTCTCCGTCCTCCGGGACACTTTTTCTGCATACCCTTTTTGTGATGCATCTGGATGCCTTTTAATGTTTGTGTTTTCAATCCCTTTCGGTCTGAAGTGTCGGTCTGTTTTCTCTGGAGCGAACACTGGTTCTTGGGCATGTTATGCACGGCGTTTGGTTTTTGCTGGGTTATGAACGATCAAGAAATTTGCAACTGGGTTTCGATTCATCTCGAGCTTTGTGGTGTACCTGATTCTTTCAAGTTCTCTTCGTGTCAATACTACTTCATATGACGATTTCAATCACGAGCTCTTTCTACATCACTCTTCAACCAGTAAGCCTGTATTCTCCAGACATCTACTGGGAATAACTACATAGGTAGAACATAGACAGACAGTTGTGAGATGTAAGGGAGAAACTAATGGTATTTTCGTCTTCGTCATTGGCGTGAGCAACTTCACGAACTCATATTCCACCCCAACTGCAAGCCTTAATTTGGAGCCAGGAACTATACCAAGGTCAGTTTCTGATAGAGCCCTTCTGTGGGCAATGCTTACCTCACGAGCCTCACTCTCTTCAACCGTGGAGCTCTCGACCTCATTCTGATCGATGAGCCCCAATTTACCTTTCCTCACGAAGAACCACAGTTCCGTCCGATCCCCGCCCAGCTTCTCAGCTAACATCTTTTCTTTGAGTCCACGTACAAATTCATTATAAATCGTCGGCTCCTCGTAATCAACTAGTTCCTCCCGCATGGTTCTCAGAGCCTCGGTGACACGATCGTAGTTTGAGTGGCCCAGACTGTGCGTGATCTGAGACTCGATGATAGTCGCCATCTGCTGCACAGCATCGTGAATAGCTTCGATGCTGTCAGCGCGAGAAAGAGTCTGCTTGAACTCTGGAATTGCGTTTTCGGTGGAGATCCTAGTGCGTTTTGGCTCGAGATTCAGGAGGGCATCGACGTCTAGTCCAGAGAGGGGTTTCTCGGCTTCGCGTTGACGTTTTCGACCCTTGGCTTTCGGGGGAACTAGATATGAGGTTAGTCGGGCTCTGTGAGTCGTGGAATGGGGTTTTATACCTTTCTTGACGTCTGCCGTAGACATCAACCTCTCCAGGTAGGATTCAGATTTATTGATCATCTCTTCGGGCGGGTGTGAGAACTCAGTGAGTCTTTCCGCCGGCTCGAGGATCGGGTCTTCAGGGTGAATGGCGCGGTATCGGATGGCTGAGTCGAGACGGTGAAGTAGTGGCGAGAACGAATCTTCAATTGGGACACCCTCGATGATTTCCCTGGCCCGATTGATTAGTTGATTGATCAATAGCTAGGTTAGTCACTCACCCTTCATCATTCTTGACCTCCAACTCCATACTATCGACATAATCACTCATAGCATCTTTCAGTTTCTCATCTGGAAGGTTGCGATGCTCTGTCATGACCTTGCCAGAGATAGTGACGACCTTATCCAGGGGCGGGAATCTGTAGGAGCGAACATCTTCGGCGTATGGGAGCTGCACTTCGATCAAGCATTCGTAATCTGGCTCGATGGACGGCGCTAGCAACACAACCATTGGAGGTTTATTCTCTTTGGTCACTAGTCGAGCAACCGCGTATGATTCAACCTCGTGAAGAGCATGGATGAAGGAGGATAGCGCCAGAGATGCATTGTCGTTACCACGCTCTGGAATTATGACATTCGTGTTTGACATGTGCATGTGACGTTCATACTGTATAAGAGTATTAGTAGGTTTTCCTGCACCGAGGAGGCGTACGCACTTTGTCCTCGTGAATGAATCCAATCAGATCCAATCCAGCAAATGTTCGTAAACTGGTGACACTCTCGTCGGATTGATCAATTGCAACTACTGTGCGTCCATACTCATAGCCCTTTGCCAGATCATCACGCTCAACATCAACCTTTCCTCCGGGGGCAGATTCGTCCGAGATTTGATATGTCCGTGATGTTCGAACTGACGTGAGCGATTCATTGGCATTTGGACCCTGGCCCCCCAGAGTAGAATCTTGTCCTGGCTCAGCTCCAGAGCGCTGAACAAAAGAACTCGCCGAGCTAGGCTTGGCGACGGCGGTTCTGAAGAAACGTTCCACTGGAATTCGCAATGCCGTCTCGTATTCCTCGGGGTCTCCAAGCCTAAGCGTCCCCCGGAAACTGACTACACTCTTTGTAACCTTTGGACGGGGGATGTCTAGTTCTGAGACAGCCTGATCCAGAGTTCCGAACATCCCTTCGCAGTCCGTTGCAAAGGTTTGGAGTAGCTCCTCGTTCTTCGCCTGTGAGATATGATTAGTAGTTCCCCTTTGAATGCAGTTCCCGGACGTACCTTATGTGGGTCCTTGTCTTCTTCTTTCACGCCGTATTCAGCGTCATCAAAGTCGGCACCTCTAGACGTTGTCAGGATCCAATGCCGTGGTAACCCGCCAGAGGAGACTTACAGAATCACTAGCTCAATACCGACCTCTAGCATCTTCGATGTGATATCCGAATAGCTATCGTTGCTCATTGCTCCAGTGCCATTGGTCACGAGCACGATCTTGCGCTTGAATTTGTTTGTCCTCGTGAATTGAATGATCATACCCATCGCAACGATGATGGCAGAAATGGCTGGAATTTATTTAGCTCTCACCACGAACATTTTGATCACGAGTACATACCATCGCCACGGTTCGTGTTGCTGGGTTTGATCAACTCTTTCAGTTTCCGGATGTCAGGCATCAGAACCCTGAGTCAGTTTAGTCAAAGGATTCGAGGTAAATCATCGGAATAGAATAGTTTCAAGCATACTGGCCAATCTGGAATAGAACTGAGATGTTGGAATAGCTCTCATCATCTTGTTGTTCGTTCGAAGTGTCTGGCATCTCATTAGATACCTCCCTTGGACTTGAACGATCAGACTCACCATCTGTCCTGAGTCCAACCACGCCCACATTTGCTGTCTTGCGGCCGGTTGCCACCTGTCATTGTCAGCTCATGCTCGTAGAAGATTGGCTCGAGACGCACCGTCGCAGTGATCTTATCCCAAACATACTGCATAGCCCAATCCAGATCAGTCACGGGGCGGTCATGACGACGCGCGCCCATAGACCTTCCCAGATCCACGACATAGACAGTTGCCTCTTTTTCAGCCATGGTGAAGTGGAAGTGTAGATGAGAAGTTGGTCTCACGTCCTCAGAGTTCCGATAGTTCAGATACAGGCAGACGCGTGATATTTCCACTTTGGGACTAGCTCCAGAACGCGAAGGCACATGACATCACCTGTGTTTGCGCCTGTTGGTCAAGTGCGTGGCTGCACTCCCATCACACGCTAAAACTCCGTGGAAATAACAATTACCCGGAATCATGGAGCGTGCCCTTCTCGTGGTCCTTTTGCTGCTACACCCTCAACTTGGCAACTCGCCATCAATCTTGATCCCAGTCTTATCCAAAATGACGGACCCTCGCCCATACCATATCCTGAGGTTTGTCTTGCAACAATCTGAAGGCTTTTTCTTGACTAACAAATTAGCTATGGCACTCTTCTCGGAACCCAGTTCTACCAGGTAATTCCAAGCAGCCATCTTCCACCATGCCATACCAAGTCATCAATATCTGCACCAAGTTCACTTTCTAACCTCTGATCAGTCATTTGTCGGAGGATTCGTGGCCTTCCGCGCACTCCCGCGACCTCAGTTTGCGAGTCTGCAGACCGCCATCTTCCCCATCTACTTCTCGTTGCAGACTGCACTGCCAGTAGTGGTTGCTTTGACCGCATCCCGCGGCGGTCAAGCCCTTGGTCTCTCGGGGCTTGTGGCACCTGAGAACCGCCTCAACACCCTCCTGCCCATGGCAACCGTGGCGGTGACTGGCTTGGTGAACATGTTCGTCCTGCGTCCTATCACCGTCAACGTGATGCGCGAGCGCAAGCACCAAGGTATGCTTAGTCCAGATTTTGGCAATTGAATCATGGTGTCCGTCCTGTTCATCAACTGACGTCCCATAGAAACTCGCGACGGCAAGCGAAGCTATGACCCGGCCCCCCACTCCAAGGAGATGCTGGCCTTGAACAAGAAGTTCGGCCGTGTGCATGGCATCTCGAGCTTGGTCAACCTTCTCAGCTTGGTTGCTACTGTTTGGTATGGCGCTGTTCTCAGCAAGCGACTTGAGTAATCGGGTTGATCTTCCCGTTACCGACTTGAGTTTATGCACATGATCATCTTTTAGTATCATTACGGTCGACATACATCTTTTCCATTACTGAAAATATGAATTTATTTTCTATTCTGATTCAAAATTGTACAAATAAGTTGGACCAAGGAGCCACTACCGCCTGGAATTTCTGGATGCCTAGAGGACCATCAGCTATGCCGTACGATGGGTGAGTACCCATATGAGATAGTATGAGGAGTCCTCGGTGAACATGCGGCCGTCTTTTTTTTTTTTTTGTTTTTTCTGCGCCAACGGCATCACGTTCGTTGGCTCCTTCTGCTTGCTCGACTGGCAAGTTCTCCCATCGAATCATACAGTCGTGGTGCTCTATACCTGCCCAGACAGCGATGTCTTGAAGATCTTCGTCATATGACGTTCCGTGTTCAGTGGAAAATGGTCGTCGTTGGTGTGGGATCACCTTGTTTACTGCCGAAGGGTTCAGGGACTCTAACTCTTAATGTCAGACACTGATGACAGGCCCAATGTTCCATACGCTCGGGGGAAAGAGTGGCTTAGAAAGCCTCGATATCACTCTTTGTATCCATCGATATAGTACTAACATTGATCTTTCACGCAGATTGCACTTTGGGATGCCGGGGGATTCCGAACAGTGCCCTCGAGTAGTCTGATGGCAAGATTAAAAGCCCAAGGATAAACAACACAATGACCTTGTTGTTTCCCTTGATATCTGTCCTTTGTTCCTTGAACTGCAAGTCGGAAATAGCTGCCTTTCATGCATTTCTGACAATGCTTTGTCAAATGCTCAGTTATAACCGTGAAAGCGCACAGAAAGAGCAAAGAAGTTCATTAACTCCAGAGACAAAGGCATACAGTTAAAGCACTTTCTCCCTTTCCCATTTCTCCTCTATTTAAGACTCGAACCCCTCGAACAGAAGTCAACATCAACATTCTCCACGCTTCTCACCTTCCAAACCAAACATCGAATCGCGGAAATCATGATATACTTCTACGTTCTGACGGCCATAGTCGCCGCCCTGAACGGTATTGGCATGCGCCATGCCGTTCCACTGACAGGGATCAACCCATCAAGCTCGTTTATCGCCCGAACCTTCAGCTCCTTGGAAATCGCCGCATCCATTCACGGTTTGCGTTCGCTTCAGCCCATCGTTTTCTCCACCCCGGTCGCCACCATTGAGGATGAGTTCCTGCTCCAGCATACTCTCAACCTGAAGATGTACAAAGACGCCAAGATGGCTCTGGAAAAGTCATCTCTCGACCTTGGCCATCTTCCACGCCCCCGAAACATCACATCACCAAGCGGAAACATGAGCCACTGGAACCAGGCTGATGAAGGGCTATGGGACTGGGAGACCCCCACGTCCCAGCCTGACACCAGCCACTGGGCCCTTTGTTTCGTTGCTATCGTTGCCATGATCGCGATGCAAGCGTTTATTTCCATGTGGACATTCGATCTCAAGTGCCGCCAAGGTACGATCGAAGGCGACCTCGACGAAATTCGGTATTACCACCAAGACCAGCACGAATCCTTCGAAGAAATGGCTGAAGTCTTTGAAGGAATGGGGGATGAGTTCCTTTCGCTCACCATGTGGCAATCCGATGCTGGGAGAAAGTTCCAAGCTCTATCAGTGGAGAGCTACGAAAACGCGCAACGCATGGAAGGAATTGTCAATCAAGCTATGGACGCCGTGCAGAAAGTGATGAGCGGTATCAAAGACCGATTGGACTCCATCAGCGGTGAACAAAAATGCATATTGGAAACCCTTGAGAGGAAACTGGAGACAGTACGTATCCAATCCCGCAATTGTGAAAAGTACACAGAGCGGTTGCCTGGAATTGTAGATAATGTGATCGACCTCAACAGGGTACTCAGCCAGGACCCCTTGACCGGCAACACGATCTTGCACCTTTCCGACGACTTGATGCAGAGCGCTGGGTTTAAGTCTGGACAGAAAGGTGCCTCCGACGACGTGCTATCCCGCCCGGAAAGCCCTAAGAGATCTGCCTTCACCCCAAGTCTCCGAGACCGACTCCCCATCAACGCCTCGCCGCCCCCTACCTCCGACAAAGCTGCCGCGAGAGATACATCTGCACGCAAAGTCAACGTCCCGGACACAACTCCCAAGGCCACTATGCCGGCATCTAAGCGCGCTGATCAAGTGAAAGAGCCCATTGCCGCATCTCCAAGCAACAGCACCGCTTCGTCCCACAAGGTCGCCATGTCGCCATTCAAGCGCGCCGAAGAGAAAGCTGCAGAGCCCCAGGTGAAGACTCCAGGCAACAGCACAGCCCCGACCACACCTCCCAAGACCAGCTTCCCATCATACAAGCGCACCGAGGAGAAGGCTGGAGAGCCGCAGGTGAAGAGCCCTAGCTACAGCGCAGCCCCGACCACACCTCCCAAGACCAGCTTCCCATCATCCAAGCGCGCCGAGGAGAAGGTTGGAGACTCCCGAGCTAAGACCCCTAGCTACAGCGCAGTCCCAGTCACGCCACCCAAGCGCGCTGGAGCCACAGCGGGCACCCCCAGCACGACCCCGAACCCATCTCGCAAGCCTGTACCATCACCTAAGCACGGTGCAGCCGAAGCGGGACAGCCCCCCGCCGCAATCCCACGCAAACCCTCGGTCCCGAAGACACCTCAGCAGACCAAATCGTCGTCATCTGCGCCTGCTGAACCTGAAGCGAGAGAGCCCTTGAATTGGCACAATGCAAGGGCCCCGCCAGAGTAGGCAGGTGTAGATGGCGACGGCTTGGTTCGTCCTTGACTCTCACAGAACTGTATCATACTGTTCGCGAGAGACCTGGACTGGACTTTTGGCCTGCATCTAGGGCTAATTGTTTTTTTCTGCACAGCGAGTGTGGACCTCGAGAGACTGTTTGTTTTCTGAGATGTGGCAATTCTTTGAGATTTGATAGCCAGAATGTACTAGCACTTGAAATAATATTGACGTTTGTTTTTTTATCTCTTTTCATTTCGTAAACCTGACCGTGGCTTCGCTCAAATGCTGCAATAGTAACTGTAAGACCCATAGAGTGGAACGTAGCGTAGTGATTCACACTCACGACTCGGGCGTTTCGACAAGGTATTTCCGACAGGCAGTCTTGAGCATATTGATACGCCTCTGCGTATGAATAAAGACTTCTCGATACATGTCAAGGCTTTGCTGCACGACTTCCTGCCGAGTTTTGTTGCCTGAGCAGATTTCAAGCATTCGCAGCTCCATTTCTTTTCGGAGGAACGGCTTGCTGAGAGACACACTGTTTGGAAGACCCGCGACAACATTGTCATAGCCCTCGACAAGGGCAATGCCAAGGCGTGTTGGGATCAGTTCGGAAACTGAAGAGCGACCACTGCCCCGGGTATTCACGGCAACGTACTCTCGCTCTTTAATCTTGGCAATATGCTCTGCCATGGTGGCATCAGTACCAATTCCATTGGCATCCATCAGACCAATGAGCTCGGGTTCAGTCAGATAGCTTGGAGCGGTCGTCTTGCCCTCGAAAATGTTGGCCTCTGTGGGCTCAAATGATTCGTCTCTTTCAAAATTGGGCAGCTGTTGACTGCTTTCCCACTTGTCGTAGACGTAGACGTCTAAATAGTTTCTTTCCAAAACAATCAGGCCGTTTGCATGGAAGAACTCATCGCCGTACTTAATCTCAACTTCCGAGCTCTGGCCCTTTGCGTCATCAGAGCAACAGGCGAGGAATCGACGGACCACAAATTCGTAGACCTTCTTCTCGTTCGCATTAAGTGAGCTTGGAGAGACCCAGCTTACTGGGTGGATGGGTGGATGGGCCTTGTCATTGTGGCGGCCCCATCGAGGAGTCTTGAACTTGCCGTCGATGAGTCTGCATCAGAAACTGTTAGAAATGCCTGGCCAACCGGTGCAAGTGGCTTACTCTCGGGCGTATTGACCCCACGAGCTATCGGGGTATTGCTTCTCCACCAACTTTTTCAGATCAATTGCTTTGTCGAACTGATCTGTTTCTGTTCGAGGATAACTGATGTATCCCTTGGTGTATAGTGTCTCCGCCACCTAACAATTTATTGGTAAACTCAGTCGGCCTGGACTGCTTTGCGACTTACCTTCATAATAGTCTGACTGTCAATGCGGAGGAATCTACTTCCCATCATCTGCAGATCAACAGTGGTCAAAGGCAAAGGCCGCCATTTGCTTTTGGGCTTCTGGTCAACTTTCGTGACCTTTGCTTGTTTTGCAACAAGGCAGCGCTCCAGCATCATTGTCACAACGGCTCTGTCAAAAAGATGTACCCGTTTCCAAAGGAAGTTGACTTTCTTGCCTTCCCGATTGACGATGACTTTGAGTCCCCAAAAATTTTCTGGTTTGAAGTTCTTGACTCTCAAGTATCGGTCAACAACGAATCCCAACGTTGGAAATTGACATGATCCTGCGACCTGTCAGTTTGCGCTCAACAGGAACGGAACTTTTCCAGATCCAATCTCACCGTAGCTAATGACCTTTTCCTTCAAAGCGGCCACAACTGTCTGCAACTGCAGGGTCTGCAGGCGGGTGAACGCAGCTCCTATTCGAAGGTCCAGTTCGATCCGAGCAGCCACGGCATTGGCCTGATACTCATCAAGGTCAATTGGTGCCAGAGCAGCTTGGCGAACGTGACTGATGGACGGTCAGTAGTGCTTCTCAAGTGCCACACAAAGCATCTCAACTTACGCGCGTTCCGTGTTACTGAACTTGGCCCGCTTGACTTCAATCCGACCATTTCCAGCTTTCGCCTGATTGCGGACTTCAGAGCCAATGTGCTCACCCTCCCGATCACAATCAGTCCAGATGAAAAGCGCCTTCGCGTACTTTGCCTGGTTCCGAATGTTCTCTGCAATTGGGAGTTTGTCCTTGTTACGAGCATCAGCACTGGATCGAGACAACTGTTGACACTTACTCACCTTGTCCACAGCTTCCAGTACCGGGGCCTCGAAGAGTGATCCAGGAGGACATGATTGCCAGCCCTTGTACTGGCGATCAAAGTCCAGACCTGTGAGATGGCCCACCACACTGGTCACCGTGACGGCGCAGTCACCCCAAGCGCCCCCGAAATTGAAATTGAACTCGTAGTTTTTCACATATTGATTGCCACGAATGGAATGCTACTGAGGTTAGCCGGTATCCACCGAGCTCTTCGAATGCTTACTGTTTGGAAAGAACCTCCGGACAAATGAGTGGCCACAGCGCGAGCAATGGCAGGTTTTTCGGCCACACAGAGGATTTTGCGAGCCATCCTAAGCCCGAATGTTGATCACATGAAGTTCATATTGGGGTGGACTTGACTCTGTGGATCACATCCGCTCATGACGCGAGGGAAAGAGATGGGCTATCTGTGGTGCCCTTATGCCTTAATGCCTGATTCTGACGCGCTGTTCTGCCTGAGGCCACTATTCCCCTTTTGGACAAGATCATACCCGATGAGGTAATCTACACATAACTCCACTTTAGCAAGGGCTTGTTGTTTTTGTTTCCCCCTGTACGGAGTACAGTTTTTGTTTGAGTCTGCATATTGTACAAAGATGGCATCTCTACCGCTTCCCCGCTTGGAGTCCCTCGTGGACTATACTTCCTTCGACCTCACCGTCCGCCCTTACTTGTCCCAGCTGCCATGGCTGCCGGACAGCTTGTACGAAGCTGGTCGCGATGTTTATAGCTTGCAAGCTGTCTATCTGGCCACCAACCCTATGGTCTCCGCGCTTGCTTTCGGTGGAGTCCTAGCTGCGATCTTCTTCCTCGCAGCCGAAATCAACCGAAACTATTCGCAAGTCGACCGATTCTGGAGCATTTTGCCCGCGCTTTATAACGTGCATTTCGCCGTCTGGGCTCGGTTGTCCGGCATCCAAACTCATACCTTGGATACAATCGCCGCCATCAGTGTTCTCTGGAGTGTAAGATTTCGATGAAACAGGGGCTACAAGCAAACTTGCTAACGGTAGACGCCACTCAATAGATCCGCCTGACTTTCAACTACTGGCGCAAAGGAGGATACTCCATCGGTTCCGAGGACTACCGCTGGCAGATCGTGCGCTCCAAGGTGGGCAACGCTCTTGTTTTCGCCATCTTCAACCTTGGATTCATCGCATTGGCCCAGTCCCTGCTCCTCCTTCTCATCACGGCCCCAACCTACATCTTTGTTGTCGCCGCGTATAACCAAGGTCCCGAGACATTCGGTTTGCCCGATGTGGCGTTTTCTCGCGCCATATTCTTCTTCATCCTCATCGAGTTCTTCGCCGATGGTCAGCAATGGAACTTCCAGACTGCCAAGCAGGAGTACCAGACCAGCGCGCGCATTTCGGAGCCCTACAAGGACCAATACAGTGCTGAGGATCTCGAGCGGGGCTTCGTTGTCAGTGGTCTTTGGTCTTGGTCGCGTCACCCCAACTTTGTTGCCGAGCAAGCCGTCTGGTTGACCATGTACATCTGGGCCTGCTACCGCACCGAGACATACTACAGCTGGGCCGGCCTGGGCGTCTTGGGGTACCTTGCAATCTTCCAGGGAAGTACTCGCTTGACTGAAGGCATCAGTGCCAGCAAGTACCCTGAATACGCCGATTACCAGGCTCGCGTTGGAAGGTTCTTGCCTCGCTTCTCTGTCAAGGCTAAGAAGACCAAGAAGCCCAGCAAGAAGAACGACTAGGCTCAATATGGATCCATTATGCTCATACACAATTGGATCATGATGGGCTTCCATACAAACGGGCTTTAATTTGTTAATTTGTTCTTCCTATTTGCCTCCTACAAAAACCCAATCTGTTCAAATCACTTTTTTTTTTCTTTTCTTCTTCTTTTTTTCAATCCCAGATGCTTGTCTCTGTTTCAACAAATCCGCAATGCGGTATCTATTGACGATGTTTGCAAAGCACTGTCATTCCTCGCTGGGAAATCTCGTGTAACGAGAGGCTTGTATGCGACGGGCCTCTTCCACCTCAATGACGTGAAAGAGTCTCCGGAGGTTGCTCATGGCATCAGCCATAGGCTCGCCATCCTTGGACTTCTCCAGCAATTCGGAAACCCAAGACTCCCACTCTGGTCCTAGATTGACGAGTATGAGCTGGCACCATAGCCACTCGTTCTCCGTCCCCTCGTTTCCTCTTCCTCCGTGGTTGCCTCCCTCCCTGCGCTGATTCTCTTTCTCGCCGTGGGGGTTACATTCAATGGCACGGATGCACAGCATCATCTTACGTAGATATTCCTTGAGTGACGAACACTTGTCATACCTGACGTTCATGATATCGCGCACACCCTTGACAGACCGGGCTCGCAAAAGCACATCGCCCCCACACGTCTTTTCCAGGAATTGCCATGCCTCGCCAGCGTCCAAGGTCTCCAACCCTCTCAGATCTTCTTGGATTTGCGGTGACACGTTGCTGAAAATTACCATCCAGATGTTCGGGTTGAATCGGGCCCATTGAGCGATAATCTCGCCATAGACTAGCGCAAGCATAACGTCGCCTTCGAGCCCCCATGCAATTCCACATTCCCTTAGCGTTCGCTCCATCGCCAATGTCCAATGCTTATAATTCTCGGGACCGAGCAGCTTTTCTGGCAGAATTTGGGGTCTGTAGAAGCGCGTGGCTGGTTTACAGAAGAGTTGCGGGGAATGGTCTCTTATGTCCCATGCCTGAGGGGGCCGATCTGATGGCGTCGAGTTCCGGTCCGTGATACCGGTGTCTGGTGATAAGTATCTTCTTTGGCTAGACATCTTGTCTCTGCTCGATGCGCTACTCTGGGCAGAACAGCTTCTTTCCAGGGCCTGGTGAGGGGGTTGGCTCCTTGCTGGACCATTCCAATAGCTGTCGAATCTGCGCAGAGTGTAGTTTGACCACTTTCTCTCGATCGCTAGCATCTCTGTGCTCACTCTCTCGCTCAACAAGTCCCGGCCGTTTTCATCGAAAAGTTGAGGGATTTGTAGGATCTCTGGTGGATTGGGGTTTCCATTTAAGCCCTGTGCGTTCGTCTTGTTAGTTGTCAAACGCAGGAAATTGAGTGGGATGATGCATTTGTTGCTGGCATTCCCCCATAGTTTCATGTTGTCGATATCCTTTCAATGGTCTTGCGGGCGTTCGTACTGAAGTTGTTTATGCCACTTCTATGGGAATGAGTGCGCTTTTGTGTTTACGGTCTGCGCATGTCACCCATCTTCAGACAATCGCTTTTTGTTCTCATTGCTATTCGGCTTTCTTTGTCTATGCAAGCCATGCTCCGCGAGTGGCCACAACAAATTCAGCTGAATGGCAGCTACATTAAATACCTGAGCACTTTATTTATTCATCTTCCTGGTCTGTTTTTGATATAATTGGACCGTATTTGGGCCTTAGATACATGATCTATGTAGCTTTGTCAGTCCTTGTGGAATGATTCAAGCCATGGATCCTTGGGTGAGTTCCGAGGTCAGAGTCAACTATGACTCTATGAGCAACCTTAGAACAGCCACTTCCCTTTCGCTTTTTAGCATCCCCATGTGATGCAATATGAATGTCTCCAGTTGCAATATTCTAGGATGAACGATTCAAGGGAATATTGCTCGATGGTAAGCCGCAGGCGCCACGCTCGGTCTCTCGGCTTTGGGTAGTCCCGAGCCTGTTCTGCCAAAGCCGAGCCCTAACTTGATCCATACACACCTGGGCACCAAGTTAAGCCAACGAGTCATGTCAGAGGGATCTGTATGCCTTGACTCTGTGCGTATAAATACCATAGGGGGGGGAGATTATGAGTAAGAATCATCTTGGAAAATTCCCTTAATTTAAGAAAACATGGTCCAGTCCACCTCACTGTCCAAGTGTATCCTCATTCTGGGTGGCTCATATGGCGGTATATCGAGCGCACATTATATCTTGAAACATGTAATTACAAGTCTCCCGAACAAAGCCGACTATCAAGTCACCCTTGTTAGCATATCGAGTCAAATCCTTTGCCGGCCAGCATGTCCCCGCGCTTTGATATCGGACGACCTATTGCCGCAACAGAAGCTCTTTGTGGACATCACGGAGCAGTTTCGAGAATACCCCACTGGCAGCCTCCGGTTCCTGAAAGGAAAAGCAATCAAATTGGATCATGCGACCCGATCGGTCTCTATAAGTCTTCCCAATGGAACCGAGACGGTCATTCCCTTTCATGCCCTCGTCATTGCCACTGGTGCATCAACACCCTCCCCATTACATGGACTCAACGGCAAAGATGAGGAGAGCTTACGCAAAAGCTGGAGCACGTTCCGGGGAGCTTTGTCGACGGCCAAACACATCGTCGTAGCCGGCGGAGGACCAACCGCTATCGAAACCGCAGGTGAACAGGGCGAGTATCTCAACGGCGGAGCGGGCTGGTTCAGTGCAAAGCAACAGAATCCCAAATGCCTTATCACAATTGTGACATCGGGTGCACAGATTCTGCCCGCGCTTCGACAGAGTCTAGCTACCAAGGCAGAGGAATATCTTGCCCAGCTAGGAGTAACAGTCATCAAGAACAACAGAGTCCAAGCCGTGGAACCACCAAACACTGGGCTAGAGGGATCCTTGGTTTCTAACGCAACATTGACTCTAGCCGATGGAAAGATTCTTCAAGCTGATCTGTACATACCCGCTACCGGCACGAAAGCCAACACAGACTTCATAGATGAGACACTTTTGAAAGCCGGTCGTCTTGAGACAAACTCTTCCACATTGCGAGTCGACACGGCTGGACCACTGATTTATGCCATTGAGGACGTGGCGTCTTACGCAAGGCCTGCTGTGCATGGCATTCTTAATGCTGTGCCCGTCGTTGCGGCAAACCTCAAAACGGACCTGCTTTCAACGGGGGAAGACCGTACCTTTGAGGAGGATACTCGTGAGACACAACTCGTTCCAATTGGACAGAGTAAGGGTGTTGGTGCAGCGATGGGATACCAGCTGCCCAGTTGGCTGGTGTGGTTAATCAAAGGTCGAGATTATTGGCTGTGGACTACTGGCAAGCTGTGGAGTGGGGAGCAGTGGACTAAGGAGTCTTGATAGAGACTTGGCCAACTGTTTTGGTGATTTGAACAGCCATAAGAGGCACATCAGAGTTTTGCCCAAACGGTAAATGTAAGACTTGGTCTGCAACCTCAGAGGGGCAAAGCGATAGAAAACAAATTTGAGACGATCTCTATCTAGAATTACGTTCCTGCCTGTAGATGGTTCTACGTTCCGATGAATGTAGCCAAAAAGTGGATAGTAGACAAGTCTTAGAACCGGTTTCAAGTTTCAACAAAACTCCCTATTATACACTCGGTACAGTAGTACAGATCCAGATTAACATGGAGTTGGAGAGGGGGGCAGGCGTGTGTGAGAGGGAAAAAAAAATGGAAATGATCTTATTGAGCGCAACATGACGGAAAGGAAGAATGGTGTATAAGAGGGTAGAGAAAAGAGAAGATGAGGGGAGTGGAAATATGCCATAAATACAAAACAACGAGAGGCTACAGTGATATCATTCCTCCCAAATTTGAATCAAACCAAAGCAAAATGCACACCTCGCCTCTATGAAGGAGGCAGAGGAGTCTCGTCCCGACCATCCTTACCGGCGGTTTGTTCAGGACCCTGGTGGTCAGGCGGGGCAATGGTTTGTCCTCCCTTACCGTCGAAGTACTTGGCAAATTCGCCAGACTCGGGGTAAGGACGGGGGCCAAGGAGACGAATGAGGTCATCACGGCCAAGAACCTCCTTAGACAAGAGTTCCTCAGCAACGATACCAAGCTCCTTGCGCTTCTCGTCAAGAAGAGTACGGCACTGGGTGTGAGCCTCTTGGATGATACGGCGCACCTCATAGTCGATGTCGCGGGCGGTATCCTCGGAGAAGGGCTTCTGGAGCTGTTGCCCGGAATCATCCTCGTAGTAGATGTAGCCAAGCTTGTTGGACATACCGAACTTGGTCACCATTGCGGTAGCCATGCGGGTAACCTTGTTAAAGTCATCGCTGGCACCGCTAGTCACGGTTTCAAAGTGGATCTCCTCACTGACACGGCCACCAAGGGTCATTGCCATACGGTCCATCATTTGGTTCACGTTCATCAGGTAGGTGTCACCGCCTGCGGGAAGGTACTGAGCGTAGCCCAGCGCACCTTGGCCGCGAGGAATGATAGAGACCTTGAGGAGGGGATCAGCCCACTTGAAGTACCAACCACAGATGGCGTGGCCAGCCTCGTGGTAAGCAACAGTGCGCTTCTCTTCGGGGGAAAGGACGAGGGATTTCTTCTCGAGGCCACCGATGACACGCTCGATGGCTTGCTCAAAGTGTCGCATGATGACCTTGTCGGCGTTTTCACGGGCGGCTGTGAATTGATTAGAGCCTGACATTGAAGTTTCATAAAGAAGAGGGATATAAACTTACCAACCAGAGCTGCCTCGTTGACACAGTTAGCGATATCGGCACCAGCAAATCCAGGGGTCAAGGCAGCGAGTCTGCCTTCCATGTACTCGAGGTTCTCGTCGGTAACAATCTTCTTCAGGTACACACGGAAGATCTGCTTGCGGCCATCCATGGTAGGTCGGTCAATGGAAATGTGACGGTCGAAACGTCCAGGACGCATCAAAGCCTTATCGAGAACATCAGGTCGGTTGGTACCGGCCAGAACAACAACCTGCTCGGAGGTATTGAAACCGTCCATTTCGGTGAGAATCTGGTTCAGAGTGCTTTCGCGCTCATCGTTTCCACCGCCAACATTCGACTTGGCACGAGACTTTCCAATGGCATCGATTTCATCAATGAAAATGATGCAAGGAGTGTTCTTGCGGGCATTGGCGAACAGATCACGGACACGAGAGGGACCAACACCGACGAACATTTCAACAAATTCGGAACCACTGACACTGTAGAAAGGCACGCCAGATTCACCGGCAGTGGCCTTGGCAAGCAGTGTCTTACCAGTACCAGGAGGACCTGAGAGAATAGCACCTCGGGGGATCTTGGCTCCTAGCTTCTCAAAGCGCTCTGGCTGCTGAAGGAAGCTCACGAATTCCATGATTTCAACCTTGGCTTCGTCCATACCTGCAACGTCGGCGAACTTGGTCTTGATATCGGTCTCGTGGTTGAATCGCTTGGCACGACTCTTTCCGATACCAAATATTCCACTCTGGCCGCCGCCGCCGCCGCTAGCGCGACGCGACATCCAGAAGATACCACCAAGGAAGAGAAGGGTAGGAGCCAATGACATCAAGACGCCACCCCATGGGGTTTCATCGTGATAGGCGACGGGGATACGTTCATCAGATGGGATACCAAGTTCATACTGAGCATTCTCGAGTTTCATCTCGAAGCTGTCCACGGAACCGATGCTGAAGAAGACGGGGGAAGAAGGTTGACCATTTTCACCGGGAATAGCGACAGACACAGCCTCGCGGTTAAGATCGACGCGAACCTTGTTGCGGTTCACGACAGTCAACCGTTCAACGAGGCCTTTTTCAAGGTAGTTTGACCGGAATTCTTGCCAGGTGATGTCCTTGCCCTGGGCCTCGCCGGGGAAGAAAGTGCGGTAGACGTAGTAGGTGACCAGAGAAGTAATTAAGAAAGAAGCGGGATCGAAGCGGAGTTCAAAGACTTTGCCCATGTTTGGAGGCATTTTGCCCTTCTTGTCATCCTGTTTCTTCCGTTGCTGTTCCTTCTTGGGGTCCTTTTCCTTGGGGTCTTTGTCCTGCTTGGGGTCCTTGGGGGATTGTCCACTGGGTTGCTGATCGTTATCGTTCTTGGGTTCCTGGTTCTGCTTCTCCGGTTTCTCGGAGAAAAAGTTGAACGGGCTGCCGCTTTGTTTGGCCTTGTCTTGCTCCTGGAGCTTGGCGATTGTCTCATCCGAGGTCGTCACATCCCACAAAAACCGCATCATTCTAATGCGATCCATCAAAGTTGGAGGTTGGTTCGGATCAAGGTGCTTCCTGACTTCCGCTGGGAGACCATTCTTCATGAGATGCTCGCGGACTTGAGTGCGTCGCACCTCATCCATTCCCTGCAACCATTCGTCCACGCTCTTCAATTCGGCATCGGTCAGAACCGAGCGGGGCTTCCCTTCCTGATTCTGGCCTTCATTGGGCTTGTTGTCCGGGGCTGTAGGACCACCGGGACCTTGCGTGGTGTATGTTCTAGCGCGGTGTGATAGAAGCGATGAGAGTCGTGACGGCTGTGCACGTACGGAAGCCAGTCCCTTGCGACCGGTGAGTTCCGCGGCTTTCCTCGAGTAGTGAGCGAGATTGCCTGGCCGGCGAAGCATGGTGGCCATGGTCGAGGTAAAGCCCCGAGGGCTGCGAGGGTGGGGGTAACGGGTGATCAATCGAGTTTATGAGCGATGGTGCAATGAGCTGACCATCAAGGGAAGGCGTGGATAAGGGGTTCTAGATGAAGTGGTGTGAAGGCTCTCCGACCTACCGAGTGACGCCGTGGCCGTGCTTCTCAATTCTCCGGGAATAACATTTTTCCGATGCCGAGTCATCGGCCCTTGGAAGCAGGTGGAAACCGCATGGACTTGAACGTATGATCTTCACCTTTTGTTGCTTCGCGTCAAAGCCGTCTTGTATGGCCTACTATTGGTAGAATGAATCACGCTATCACGACGTCCGAAGTTTGTGTCATAGTGCTCTCCATACTGCAAGAATTCGAGGCTGGGCAAACTTCACCTAGCTGGAGCTCCCACCTACTAGGTAGATCTCGGGAGGGGCCTACAGGCTCGATATTCTACGAAAGCAACGACAGATACACATACTCAGCTGTGGTCGATTTCCTCTGTCACTTCTTGGCCTTCCTTTCAGGGCCTCGACTTCTAGAACTTGGTCATTAGGTCTTGTCGCTTTTTGCTCACTATATGCCCGTGGACCCGCGGGCCCCGGGGCGCTATACCTAGTAAGGTTATGTCTGGGCGCGAACTTATCTTGCTAGTCTTTGTTTCAGCTCTATGCCTCGGTGTTGTCCCCTCATCAGTGGTAGAAGAGCTTCGATCATCTGGCTGATGTTCCACATGAACATACCTACCTAGTACCTAGTACGCATCCTTGTCTTCAGGGTTATTTAGTAAGAAGCAGAGCCCCCTGCCTGGGCGCACGTTTTGCCAGAAGAACCCTGGAATGTGGCTCGGATTCGTTCTCTCGACTACCTAGTATCCATGGATGTTATACTTGATCTTCCAATGTTGGGGGTACGCTGTTTTCATGCATTTGGTAGGTGACTGGATATCTACCTAGGTAGGTACCTACCTAGTGTGTGATAACTAGCCACCTGGGCATCTCGGTTACCTACCTAGGTAGGTAGCGGTATGATTGGCATACCTCCAGCACTGGGTACCTGAGCATAGTCACAAAGATATATATCACCAGCCGTTCCAAGATCCACGTATGAAAACATCCATGGAGGGGCCACGGAGAGTGCTGAAATCGACCGGCAATCATCTCCGATTCAAAAACCTCAAGGCCTCATATATCTACCTAGTAGTACGTGAACCCAAGATGGGCCGGTGGTCGAGCATCTTCGCCCAGTCTAAAACGATGGGATTCAATTACTTTAGAATTGTTAAGGAGCACGGTACAGAAAACACTGGTCGTCTTTCATAACCAGGCGGTTTGGCCGAGTGGTCTAAGGCGATTGAGTACGTTTCACTCAAAAATCAAATACCCACCAACATTCACTAACCAATTTCACAGCTAGAAATCAATTCTCTTCGGAGGCGCATGTTCGAATCATGCAGCCGTCGTGCTGTTATCCTTTTTGCCAACAAAACTTTTTGCACATCATGGATACTTGCTGATACATACTCTGTACATCCTTGCACAATGGCGTGGGTCGTGGGCCGAGGATTGCACTACAAGATGCGTCCATACTTGGTGCCTGATCGACCAAGAATACAGTAAATCAACAATACTTTCATTCTAACGTATCCAGGTAGGAACTTCTACATACAGCACTGGTATAAGGAGTCCACGGGTACTTGTTCCAAGGTTCCAAATTTGTGCTGCTGAGCCCTATGTGGGTCCACGAGATCAACGAAAAGTTCGCATTTGGAACCTTGGAACCTTTAAATGGTGACTAATATTCAGCCATCCCCCCGGGGCCGGGGCCAAGGCCCAGCCTGGTTCTGGTAAACAATCCTGCTTTGTGTGTCAAATAATAGCTTTTAAGGACATTGATCAGTCATGCAAATGATTGCTATAGCCGCAGCGTTACTGCAGTACGAATGATTAGAGTATACTGTAATGTACTGTACTGTTGTATGGCTCTCATATTAGAAACGGATGATAGTCTAGCTTCGACCCGGCTTGTGGCTCCCCACAGACTCGTTTGGGAATAGTCCACAGAGAATACTCTCGATGACCCAAAGATAATAAAAGCCGCACTTGTTCCGCCTCTCTTATACTACACATCGAGGGAGTCTTGATTATCTAATACGGCGGTTTGGCCGAGTGGTCTAAGGCGATTGAGTACGTTTCACTTCGGCAACATTAGTCCACCAACATTCACTAACCCATCCAACAGCTAGAAATCAATTCTCTTCGGAGGCGCATGTTCGAATCATGCAGCCGTCGTGCTATCTTTTTTTGCTTTCAGTTCGGCGAATGTAGCTTACATTTTCATGATAATTCACCTCTTGGAACCATGCACTCTCAGACAGACCCAATCGTTGGGTTAGAGAAGGCCACTTCCCTTTTTTTTTGTCATCTTGTAGCTAACTGGACGACAAGACTTACTCCGTAGAGGAATCAGCTATTGAGAAGTGAAAGATAACTGATAAAAGATTTCAATTGACCTCGGGAGTAGTATGAGACGACACTGCAAGATTGATTCCCAAGGGTTTGCCTCGCCTATGATATCCTAGAGACGGGGTCGGCACGTCACCCCTGTAATGATATAAAAAGATATCAACGGTCATTGAAACCTTGGAAGGATCGTACCTAGGTATGTAGCCGATCATGCTGACTAGGGTTAGAAGAAGTCTATGTAAAACTGCTGGCATGAGAAACCCACACAAGGTTATTTGGAACATCAGCACCTACCAATTGCTTAGCCAAGTACTAATTTATTTGGTAAAATCTTGTCGCAAGGTTACAAACCACAACACTACCCAGCGCAGGACACCCGGTCAAGCCCCAATTACTTCAGCGGATCAATTCTGGTATGACACCCAAGACGCCTAACTTGAGGCCTATAGTACCGGCTAGAAGTAACCGTCAAATATGACTTATCAGAAGTTGATAGGCAATTGCCAAAAGAACGGAGTACAATTGCTTTCGGTGCCACAGGTTTACTTCTCGAAAGGGTACTCCGTGTGGTGACCCCTGTGTTTGGCAGGACATCATAGACGTACCCTAAACCTTGAACAACCCCAATGAGATGTTACTAGGTGCAAGCCAATCTTTATTTTTACTGAGACGGCTCTGGTGATTGGCCAATTGATCATGACTACATACATAGGGGGCCTGCAACCATCGCCCCGGCGCAAGGGCATAACATCGAGCTCGTTTCAAGGTTAATCCGTCCTCAACAGGCGAGAAAAAGTCTATCACACCCTAACAGGATTATGGAATTGTCTGGGCGACTGCTCCACACCTATCATGAGCTTGAACATTATTTCTTTAATGGAAGTTGCCCACCTAGTCAATGAGGATGAAGGTGTGACGCCCCTTCTAGTAAGCATCCTTATGGAGGTATTCCACCCATGGATGTCACTGGGAGGCACATATGACACGCCCATACATTTAGCAATGGAAGTTAATGTTTAATGTGTATTCCAAGGTTGACTTGAACCGTATTGAGTAGGTATAGTGAAGTAGTAGTGAGCCTAGAACAGTTTGCATGTACCCGTCACCTCGGGAATTGTTTTGGCGTATATGTCCAAAGTTTCGAATCTCTGACATCATCAGGCGGTTTGGCCGAGTGGTCTAAGGCGATTGAGTACGTTTCACTTCAAAATCAATGATCCACCAACATTCACTAACCCATCTTACAGCTAGAAATCAATTCTCTTCGGAGGCGCATGTTCGAATCATGCAGCCGTCGTGCTGTTCTTTTTTTCCCATTTCGGAATATTGTTTTTATTTCGGCCATAGAGGTATCATCCGTGGTGCTCGTAAGTATGGTGCAAGCTCAATTTGGCCTTAAAATGGAAAGAGATAAACATTAGTATTTAAGAGTCCTCTGGAGTTTTCAACACCCGAAAGATAGACCGCCCACCCCAACTATGTATGCCTATCCTCATTATAAGCAGACTAGCCCTGGAGGTGCTTAGTAGTATTACTACCTAGGTAGTATAACAGGTCTACTCAGTATACCGTACTAGAATATGTACTATCGCATTTCGCGGATGAAGTTCTGCCTGGCAAGATATCTATTATATGTATGATAAAGGAGGGGTGCTCAGGCGAGGCAAATTGAGTCTTGAAATGTCAGAAAACCCACTGAGATTGATTTGTTGTGTTCTGCAGGTCGTTCGTGGATGGAATGTGTAGCCACAAATCTTTGGCGTCATCATAACCAGGCGGTTTGGCCGAGTGGTCTAAGGCGATTGAGTACGTTTCACTTAAAATCGAAGATCCACCAACATTCACTAACCAATTCCACAGCTAGAAATCAATTCTCTTCGGAGGCGCATGTTCGAATCATGCAGCCGTCGTGCTGTTATCTTTTTTGCTTTGCTTATTTTTTTGCGTGGAATTCCATTGCCATGCGCTTTGAGATTGGCCACCAGCTTGAGACACAGCGACTGATTGGGGGTTTCTTCTTTTATTAGTTGATACTTTCCTTCTATTGGTATGTATGTAATAGTACTCCTAGACCTCGGGATCATACTCTGTACGGAGTAGCATTGGTTCAAACATGTTCACCAGCCATCTTCTTTCGTCTGGTTCAAAGGGTTCGGCCGCTTTTGTTGCCCGTATAAACTCCATAGATTTATGACAGATCAAGACCATACAGTCGGAACACGTATCATGTTTAAATTCCACACCAAGGAGTTTCTCCGACAGAATGTAGACCTAGGTCCCATAGAGCATGAATTTGCAATCTATTTGCGGCAACATACCTACATAGGTACCTAGGTAGGCACGGTGTGCGTAGCATGACGGAGTACAGTACCGGTTGACGGAAATGGTGTTTACAGTGCCTATGTAATCGTTCACCACCTGGGCACCGTTGGCTGCTTCCAGGTTATCTCTTATGGAAACCAATATATACTAACAGGAAGGCGGAGGAGGCAACAAGTGTGCTTTCAACCTTTCATGACCACAACTTGCGCCCTGCAACTCAAAACTCTCAGTTATCACAATTGCCACTTATACCTGACTGGCGGTTTGGCCGAGTGGTCTAAGGCGATTGAGTACGTTTCACTTAAAATCGAAGATCCACCATCGTTCACTAACCATTCCTTCAGCTCGAAATCAATTCTCTTCGGAGGCGCATGTTCGAATCATGCAGCCGTCGTGTATTCCTTTTTTTATTGCCTATTGTCTGGAGCAAACATAATGTAATGGCCAATGAGCCATTTCCAAGATTGTAATTAGATTCGATGATTAAACAAACAAACAGTAGCACTACTATTTTGGTTAAATTCGGGCACCTAGCTTCTGCGATATCCCATTTATAAGTACGAAGTACCTAAGTATAACCCTGCTGACTTTGCTGACTTTGGGGGCCAGTGCTACGTAGTGAAATAGGAAGAGCGCGATGGTGGACACAGCAGACAAGACGACCTTGGGATGGAAGGACTGCCTAGGCACGGCCCTAAGAGCAGTAGTGGGCAACACCTTTACCCCAGAGCGCCATAATAGGAAACAGAGGCTGATTCATAAAGGGGTGTACTTACTCCGTATAGTAAATACATTCCAAGGTAGGTACCTACCCAGGTACTAGGTACATACAATCCATCCAAGCAAGGCTATGTTTTCACTTACCCCCCAGATACCGTCATAATTATGCCATATTTGGGAGATACAGCATGTGATATTTTTTACATGTTAAACCGTTGTTTCCGGAACATGCGTAGTTCAACTCATACGGTATTTCTACCTACATAGGTATATGCACATACGTACTCCACATGTATTTTAAATAACTACTGTGAGTGTGGTATCTTTCCGGTTGAGTGTATACTTTCTGCCACAGCCGCCGTCACTTGTCTCACTTGCCCTTGTGCGCTTGGAGTTATTTCGTAGAATCGGCAACTTCCCAGTCAAGGTGTAATTTTGGATTTTGATATCAACTGGCTCATATATAATATAAGATCGAATTCTCGACATCTTATGGCGGTTTGGCCGAGTGGTCTAAGGCGATTGAGTACGTTTCACTTAAAATCGAAGATCCACCAACATCCACTAACCAATTCCACAGCTAGAAATCAATTCTCTTCGGAGGCGCATGTTCGAATCATGCAGCCGTCGTGCTATCTTTTTTTTCCTTCTTGTCTTGTCTCATTGTCCCCCCTCCACCTGATAATTCTCGGGGAGGGCGGGAGCTGTGTGAGACTGCCAGACTCATGTCCAAATGCATCAAATCCAGCTACTTCGAGAAGCAGCTGGCCTCGGTACCAAGTTCCATGCAGCCAAGCTCCTTTTGAAGCGCTACCTACATGGCCATCGAGTATTGAACAAATTGGAGTACAAATAAAATGAACCTATGGATGGTCGAAAATAAACGGGCGTCTGTAAAATGTTCTTCGGCTTTAAATTGGCTTCAGGTATGTAAAACCCTAAGAATGTGTGTTCCCTCCCCAATCACATCTCAGGATGATTTGATCCCGAGGTCATCTGCAAAAGCGAATAAAATAATCGGGGGTTGTGGTCATGGTGGTCTCAATTTCAGCAGGTCTGCTCTGTCGGCTTCGACTCCTTAGGGAAAGCACTGTTATACCTCACTACATTGTTTTGGTCGTCCCTGTAAGCTCCGTTCATGAACAACTGCAACTCCGGTGACACGTTCTTGAGCCTTTTATCAACATAGACAAATCGTCTTTTGCGACGGCATATCTCTTCAAATGAGTCACCATCTAAGCCATCCACGAATGAATTTGCAATTGCGATAGCTTGCCACGTAGAACTATTTGCATAGCCCACAAATGACTCTTCTCCCTCATTGTCACGGAGAGAAACTCGGAACCCAAATCGAATACCCGGGTCATTTTCCGAAGCCTCGGTGGCATAGGCCTGGGGGTGTCTTTCACCAATGGGCGCTATCTCAGCTCTGAGAAAGAACAATGTATGATTTGGAGGCGCTCGGTGGACTCGGAAAGTTGTGTGTTGGACGTTGAACTGATAGGTGCTGACTTCCCCCTTTCTGGTTTCGTGTCCCTTGAAATGGTATCCTATGAGAAGCTGAAGGCCTTTCCGGAATGCCATTCGATTGATCTCAGTGATCTCAGGTTTCTTTTTCGGTTGCTGATCGATGGTTGGTATCTGCTCCTCTGTGTCGGATTGGGATGTTGCGATACTATCATGCTCAAGAACATCCGCCATAAGATCTCCGTCCATCAACAATGTTTCCTCCGTCAATGCTGAGGTATGCGAGGCTATAGAAACCTGACCCCCTCCAGACTGATGCACTGATGTTAGTCCCTCTTGGATCTTTTCCTTTAATAGGCGGACTCTTTGGATTGTATCAGGGGGAATCACACCCCTCTGCTTGAACTTTGACTGTGGGATCTTTCTCAATCCTTGGATGCCTAAAAACCTTGGTGCAATTAACAGGAGAATCAGCATACCAAGCCTCAACGACCCTCCTGCGCTTTCTGAAAGAGAACGGAGGTCATCATCTTCCTGGAACCCGGATCTCCCTAACCATATCCTCAAAGTCAAATTGATCTTCTCTAGCTCTGGGCTGAGTGGGTTGATTCTTCCAGATCTCTCGTCATCCCACCCACGAATCACCAGTGCTACTGTGAGTGCACTCTCATAGAACGATGTGGAGAGTTTGATCTGCGAGACTGCGGACACGAACCTGAACAAGGTACTTATTTTCACGGCCGCAGAGCCTTTGTTTGACCATAGCTTGATGAGCGGGGCGGGCGATCTCACGAAAATGCGCTCGATTGCATTATTCTTAAGTCTCAGCCAGCATTCGTAGCTGACACCTTGGAGGTCAAGAGTAAAGTTATTCTGAAGGTCCTGCTCCGTAAGAGATAATTTCTCTGCGAGCCTTCCACAGAGAAGAATGAGACGCAGAGAACTCCTTGCAATTAACTCCTGAGCAACCTCCGTAAAGAGGTTTGTGGCGGCTTCGGGTGTCATGCTGACTTGGAATGACCCAGGCACAAGCTTGTATTTCTGAAAATTGGCAACCCATATCAAGGAGTTTGTTTCTGTGAAGCCACTTTCCCTTAAACCCCAAGGGAGGGATATCTCGCCATAGGTGTGACTCGGAACGCTATCCATCAAGATACCAACGGAGGCTTCCGTGGTGCCTACCGGGGCTGCTAAATCGTTGTTGAAACAAGGAATGCCCATGATTCGGTTCGAGGTGTTCTCGAACCAAGCTCTTAGGTCCAGGGGCTGGTTGTTGTTTTCAAGCGGTACCCAAGGGATTGTTTCCTTGTGACACGAGGGCCACATATTCATTTTTGCAAGCTCCCGCGTACGCTGTACAGCATTAAAAAGAGCCAAAATGTTATCCTCTGCAGTCAGCCTTGGGCGTTTTTGGGTATCCATCAAGATCTTTGCCGAGGTGCGAGGCCGGTGTTTCTGTTGCGCTCGGGTTCCTGGCCACCCACGGATTTCAAGGTCGGAGGAGTTCTCAAGAAGTTTTGTAAATTCCCCCCGAACCCTAGGCGAAAGTTCTCTTCCTTGCGTCAGTGGGGGAACAATGTTAAGGCCAAGAGTTGAGTAGGACCCTTCTGGGCAGGGACCAAAGTATTGCTCAAGAACAGAGGGGGCAAGAGTTTGAAATACCCGAGTGAATGACATCTCCAGGATATTTTGGAATGCTTCTTTCGTCGCAGCTTCGGTAGAAACAGGAAATCTTATGACCCAAAGACGAATGAAGTTGCTGTACCGGTAGCCTGCAGCTGAAGGGCTTGTCACAATATGATAGTGTAGGGTATCGTTTCTCCCCGTCCGAATTGCACTGCAATGCTGAGAAATGCGAGTGGCCAGAATTGATGCCTGTCCGACATAACCGCGCCAGTACCCCTCGTCTCGGCGATCAGTGATAAAGTCGCAATAGCCACCATCAAAATGTGGCCACGGATCAGGCTCTTGCATCTGAGATGTACAAATCCTCTCTAGCCTAGACAGTGTAAGCGTTGCCTGGTAAAAAGTTGATAGAAGACAACATACATTTCCACCGTGACCATCTTGCCTTGGAGAGCGAGGACACGAGGCTCGATCGAATTCAATGCCATTTGGGTGAAACAATTTTCACCGCCAACGGCATCAATGATGGAAGGATATGGCAAGTGATCAATTAGATGGTCCTTAATCTCTCTTCTGTACAGCTTGTGCACGAGTCCCTGAATCAAAGGCCGCATTTCCGGTATTTTGACCTGATGATGCAGCTGGATCTCTCGAATTAGAGGGAGTCTTTGAATCATAGGCATGGAAGGGGGTGACCTGCCTGTGTTGTGATCGAGGCAATTTGTGGGCAGGCCTTCTTCAGATGACCAATCTGACCGCACTGGAAGCAGGTTGGTCCAAGTTTCGGGCATGAATGCTTGAGGTGACCCTTCTCGCCACATTGAAAACATGTTTTCAATTCCAGAGATTCCAAGTCAGGCTTTTCACCGCGTTTCCGTTTTCGGGATGAGCAGTCCTTTTTGAGATGGCCCGGTTCTCCACATCGATAGCAAGTAGGCATATGTTTGCAAACAGCAGTATGATTAGGGCCGAAGGGGGAATGACACCACTTGCAGTATCTGTGGCAGTCTCTGGCAAGGTGTCCGTTGAAGCGACATTCTCGGCAAAACATGCGGTCTTTCTTAACAAAGAACGACATGTTACGATGAGACGAGCATACTTAGCTGGGGATGGAGAAAAGGAAGTGGGGAAAGTGAAATCAAAAGGTCGCAGGAGAAAGAAAGACAAAAGAAGGCGAGACTGAGCTCACCCCCAGGACCGTAGAGGCCACACGGAAGGACGGGAGGCAGATAGGAGGCATATAGAGCGATTCCCGAGATGGGACAATTGGAGATAGGCAAAGATTACAATCTGATATTGACAAAATTGTGCGGGAATAGCACTTTGGCAGAAGCCTACGACGAGTATGGCTTCAAGCGTCTTTGACATACTCAAGGACAATGCTTGCAGGGTTAGAAGTTTGCCTACATCTGACTTCTTCCAAGGTTTCCTTCTTTTCAGTGGCTTTATTTCGGGGAACCTTGAATATGGATGAGATTACACTTACTCCGTAGAGGATGTCGAACGTAAAATGCTACATGCAATTGATTGTTCCTTGTAAGAAAAACTTATTGCTCCAGAAAGAAAGAAAAATAATGAGAAGGGGTGCCAAAAAGCAAAGCAAAAAAGATAACAGCACGACGGCTGCATGATTCGAACATGCGCCTCCGAAGAGAATTGATTTCTAGCTGTGAAATTGGTTAGTGAATGTTGGTGGATCGTTGATTTTAAGTGAAACGTACTCAATCGCCTTAGACCACTCGGCCAAACCGCCTGGTTATAACAGTCTGTCAATTCATGGCTATATAAATCAAAACAGACCAACTTTGCCCATGTGAAGAACTAGGTGGGGATCCACACCTGGGCATCTATATGCTGGTATCCAGAGCGATAGAACTTATGTTCTTTTCTCTAAAAATGAGAAATGCTAGCATTAGTTCTAATAGGAATGAATCCAGAAGACGTGAGCAATTTTCAGTTTATTGTAAGCAGCATCCTGGGGCAGGTAGGGAGATGGAAGATGAATTTCACAGGGGACTGCTAGGCTTGGAACCATCGAGACTTGTACAGCATCACGATCTTTGCTTCGCTCATCGTGACTTCACTCAGTGCACACTGTGGGCTTATCACTCCCGCACGACAATCCAGGCAAAGGGGGAGCGGCCTTAAAGAAGAGAACCATAACTGGTTTCTCCAAGCGAACACTCGATGGAAGTTAGACTGGGAACCGAATGGTCCAGTGCTGACGACTTGATAAATCGACCACAACAGCGCATTGAGATCGAGCCACGGGAAACGCGTACGGAATACGATACCGCCGGTTGGAGTATCCATGGATTAGAGCCCGACCGATAAACGCCTCGACGGTGCGGGCCTTGTGTTCGTTAACCTAACAACAGGAAGAACAAACGATGGAGGGCGCAAAACTGCTAGTTTGACTTTCATGCAAGGGGCGATATCTGAAAGAACCGGGTGGCAAGAGGACCCCGAGTCGTCTTTACCAGACACAGCCAATGGATGGGCAGAGACATACAAGCCCCAAAATCCATCCGAACCTGGGCAGCTTCAGAAAAAAGAACAGTATCTCATTTTCCTACTGCTGGGTCCTCTTTTAAAAAAAACGAAGTGGTCTAGGAACAACGAGTAAAAAAGCAAAAAAAGATAGCACGACGGCTGCATGATTCGAACATGCGCCTCCGAAGAGAATTGATTTCTAGCTGTTGAATTGGTTAGTGGATGTTGGTGGATCATTTGAGTTAAGTGGAACGTACTCAATCGCCTTAGACCACTCGGCCAAACCGCCATACGATTGGAAGGTCTTTGGGTTGTTGACATTATGAAAGAAAAACACAAGTGGAGTTTCGGGATCGCTGGGTGAGCATGACTCCCAACCTTGGTAGCACCCTAAGGTTAAAGGCGGTGGCAGCCAAGATCTATGGGTCCACGTTTAGATGGAAAATGTACCTCTTATGCTCTAGTAATTAACTCTTTAGAGAATGCATGACTGAAGGGACGTGGTATTCCCAGTGTGGCGTGGAAGTCTCAAAAACCGCTTGTAGTTCAATGTTTGGCTAGAGCATGACAACCTTGGGATGACGCCGTGGTGATGCTAACCTTGGAAAGCGATCATCCACACCTGACCACAGAGGTATGTTAGTGACTTATGGCATGACCCACAGCGAAGGTAGGTAGTGACACGTAATTCTCGAACAGGAGCGATTATTGGAAAATTTACAGTCTCATCAAAATGTGACAGTGTCACGCCATTTGCAACATAGTCCAAATCAATAACTCCGTGGTGATTCATACAGAGGGGAGCGCTTAATACATCAGAGGTAGAGATTCTTTGTTGAGGAGAGATGATTCGCCGCGATAAATGGGATGATCGCCGTAACGAGCTTGTAAGACATGAATAGGTTATTATCACTGCCCCGGTGGTGGGCCAGCACCTTCAAATGGGGGGAAATTAGTGGACATGTCTGCCCAGTCCCATTCAATTGTCATAGGCATTTGCCATAGATCCTGAGGGACGAATGGTTGCTGGAATGGCGCGATTCCCGGGCTAGCGGCGCCAAATGGAGGCTGGTCGGGGAACCCAACACCCGCCATCTGTTCAGAGCTGAGCATGTCCGAGAACTCTTGTCCAATGCCAGAAATGGAGTGAACATTGCTTGGGAGATCTGCAGGGACGCCACTTGTCGGCGGCATGGTAGCCCCTGAGAACGATCTTCCCGGATTGGGCGAGGGGGCTGCGGCAGTGGGATGTGTGAATGCAGAGGGTGAAAAGGCTGCCGAGTTAGACGGTGGTTGTGTACGTTTGACGGACGGTGAGGTTCTCGATTGAGATTCTTCCTCGCCTTGTTCTGCTGGGTCTTCCGGGGCAGTCTTGCGTTTCTTGCGAGAGTGGGATTCCTTTTCCGATCGGTCCAAGACGACCTTGGCGATCCTCTCAAATTCGCCGCAAAGACCGAGCATGCGCTTGATGCTGCCATTGGATTCGTCGGACACTAGAGTGGAGAGGAAGTTGACCACCACGTTCATTAATTTGATATCTGACCGCGCACGAGCATCATTGGGGTTCTGCAGTATGTTCGCGAAAAGAGTTACAAGAGCAGAGACCGGGTAATAGAGGATTAACCTGATGAATAATTAGCAATGTAATCCGTGCTCAATGATGATAAATCTTCGAGTAGGACATACCAAACACAGGCAAAGTCGCCCTGTGGAATATACTTTATCAGATTGATAGAAGCCCTGGCCGCGGTGACACACAGAACTGCCGACAAGAAGACTCTTGGGTTCAGAGGCCTAGCATTGAGACCTTGGATGGCGTAATTGGACAAACGACTGGTCCAATAGCCATGATGAACTGACATGCGGTGAATCGTTGTCAAGCAGTTATAGTACGCGAAATGTAGCACAACGACGTGAATGATGAGCGGCGTGTGCGTGGCTTGAATCTCATTTTCGGGTCGGAAATCAATAGGAATGCTATCTTTCCAGTCCTCTAACTCTTTGTCGAGTTCGCCGATTGTGTTGAGCAACTCGCCGTCAGATTGTTTTGATGCTTTGGCGGAGTAAAGTCGCTTGTAAACGTGGCTTTCGATGGTGGCAAATTCACAGAGCGACCGGAAGAGGTTAAACTTGCTCCTGCCATCGGCCAACGGTACGTTTCCAACGTTATCCGGTGGGTCTTCACTCGGCAGCTCGACGTTCATGTCATCGTCGTCCTGTACTGGCGGGCGACCAGACCGAAGACAAATGCTAGAAAAAAAGTTAGCACAACTCATATGGTGATCATCAAACAGATGCTTCTTACTCCTTGTCGCAAAGATAGGCAATCCAAAATACTCTCTTTCGCTGCTCGACTTCGACTGGATTGAGACCGAAGCCAGAACCACGTTTATGGAGACCGATGCTGTGAGATAGTCGAATGGCCGCAGCGACGAGGAAGAAAGCGGGCTGTGGGTTAGGAGTCCCCTGTAGGAATAGAGACATGCCCAGGAGTGCTTGCACACTCAACAGATCGGTGTTGCGCATTGTGAGCTCAGTCAGAACCCCCATTGCGTTTTTCAGATAGAGCCAGGCCTTCTTGTCCTCCTCATGTGGTACCAGGTTACTCATAACTCTGAGTCTGTGAGAAATGGCCAGAGCAACATTTATGCTGGCCCACCAGCCCGAACCCTCATAGGGATCGCGCGAGTATTGTCGCTCTACCAGATGCATGAATGTGGCTTCGTGAAACAACGGGAACAGGCAGTTGAAATTCTCGAAGAAATCTTTGAATAGTGAGAGAGCTTCTTCTTTTGGTGGTAGAGGTTTGAAGACACGTCTTGCGAAGATATCGCTGAAGATCTCGGGTTTCCAATACATCCACTTGTTGTCGTCGACGTACGCCGATGATATCATGTCCTGGAAAGATGTGTCGCCGGTCTTCTCGTTGACCCATTGAATTCCCTTGGGTGAGAATATAGAGAATCCCGATGAGGATCCTATGTACCGAGTCTCGCCGCAATTATTTGTCACCAAAGAACACATCATATCCGACAAGGCTTCAACTTCAGTTTCCGACTTTTGTGACTCCGGCGATGTAGCGGCCGTCTGAGGACTGGAGTTGGAGTCCATCCTGGGAGTGGTATGGTGGGAACTTGGGGCGCGCTGGGTTGCATGAGCCATGGATTTGGATGCGCTTTTCGCAGCATTTGCTGTATTCGATGCGCTTGCTGCATTTGCTGCGTTGAGCGCATTCGTTCGATCGGCAAGTCGTTTCTCTAACGTCCCAAGATCCGTCTTGCCCCCATCATCTTCCGACAAGAGACCCGACAAGCGCAACAACGACTCCATGCGCCCTAGGCGATTTTCGAGGCCTTCGATGTATTTCGCTCTGTGATGGTTTTGTTAGATCCGGAGAGGCATGCGCAATCAGTTTACATACCCTTTCGGTGGGTTGCGCTTCTTCTCAACTTGGGTGAAAATGCATTCCGTCTTGTAATTGATACAATGTGAGCATTTGGGCATTTTGCCATCGCATTTGATCTTTTTCTTGCGACACATATCGCAAGCCTGTCGAGATTAGATTAGAGCTTTCACACCCATGAGTGCTGGTGTGATCCTCACCCTGGCGATCCTCCGTCGTTTGGCGTCATTGGTTTCGTCGCCCGCGCCCAGCGACGAGTCGTCGTACATGGACCCTGTACCACCCTGCATCGGATTGTCATAGCTAAACAACTGCGGTGTCTGGTTCATCATTGGGTTCATTTCGAAACCTAGGCCGTCGTCCCCCAGATCCATTTTGCTATGAGGGGCAACACTCCGCGGAGTGGAGGCAACGGCGGTGTCGGTAAGGAGACTGCGGGGGAGTGGTGTTCAGGTGATGCCTGCAGGCGAAAACGCTGAGGGCGTTGGACAGCTTCGAGTAGGGGTTTCAGGCTCTGGGGGCTCTGGGGGCTCTGGGAGAAAAGAGGAAGCCTTGTGCGAATGGATGACGCATCAAAGACCCCAAAGGTGGACAGATTCTTTCGGAGATAACGGAGACTCCGGAAACTCTCTCAGTACAGACTTGATACACGGATGCGAAGGCGAAGAGAGTAATATAAAGATCTTCTGTAAATCATCCCAGAGCACGAGAAACGGAGGCCGCGCACTCCGAGTGCCGAGAAGTTTGACGGTCGAGTTCGTCCGATCCGGGTGAGCCCTGGTGGGCTTCCGAGGCCAGAGAATTTGCTTTCAAACCCCTACATGCAATATGTTTATGTGTTGTGTAACCATCTCTGCCATGTCTTTCATCTCTTTGGGACAGTCCGAATATTTATGAGACCAACATGGGGTATGGGATCCCAGCAGGCCAGTGCTATACGTAGGCTTTAGACCATGAGATCCCTCATTAGAGGTCATTGTCTGGCATATTGAAATAAAAGTACATTTGAGGAGCGGCGATCTCAGGGATATGTAAAAAGAACAGTATAATACAACCAGCATCGGAGGTTCCCCCGACGTGGTAAAATGCCAAACCAACGCCACGCTATGAGCCCAAAGTAATGGCCGAATCATCGGCTCAGAAGTCACTTTCCCTCATGAACAAGATATAGAAATTGCACGTTCAAACATGCTTATCGAGGAATTCCTTCGCTTCGTTGATCTTGGTGGCCAGGTACGGGCTGCCACCACGATCGGGGTGGTTGAGCAGCATGAGCTGGCGGTGGTTCTTGCGGATCTTGTCCTTGGTAAGAGTTCGCTCGCTAGGGGAGAAAGCTGTCAGTGGCGGTTGATGTTTGGATGTTTGGATTCACATACGCAAGTTGCAGGATCAAGGAGGCCTCGCGACGGGACATGCGCTGGTCAAATCCTCTGTGTATCATTAGCTAAGTGTTCCCAGTGAAATCGTTCCGCTTGAAGGCAAATATCACTCACCCTTTGTAAAAGGCCTTTCCGGCGGCGTTGAGACCTCCTTTGGAGCGGCGGTAGGCGACCAGACCGGCACGGCCCTGTAAACAATTAACCCCCGAACTGAATGCCATCACTCGAAGATACATACCAGGAAAGCGGTGGTGGCAATACCGAAACCGATAGCGAGAGCAGAAGCCATATTGTATTGAAGATCGATGGGGTTTATCAAGTGGACGTAAAGAAGCGGAGAGGCGTCGGGATAGAAAAGTCAGCGCACGAGCCCCAAAAGGGTTTAGCGTGGTCTGCTCCACCATTCAGGCCCAGCTTCAGAAAAAGTTTCTTGCGACTCAAACACAAGAACCAACACCACTTTGCAGCCATGCGGTAAGTCTGAGCCGATAATATTGATATTTCATGTCTAACAATCGGTTTTCTCTACAGTGTTGAAACCTGTCACTTCTGTTCCCGCCCGGCTTTCCCGAGTAAGGGAATCACATTCGTCCGTAACGATGCCCGACAATTCCGCTTCTGTCGGTCCAAGTGCCACAAGAACTTCAAGATGAAGCGTCAGCCCCGCAAGTTGAAGTGGACCAAGACTCACCGTGCCGCCCGCGGAAAGGAGATGATCGTCGACTCATCGCTCGTCCTGTCCCAGTTCGCCAAGAAGAGAAACGTCCCCGTCAAGTACGACCGCAACCTGGTGGCTGCCACTATCACCGCCATGGAGAGAGTCGAGGAGATCAGAACCCGCCGCGAGCGTGTCTTCACCAAGCGCCGTCTGGCCGGCAAGCTGGCCCGCGAGCGCCAGCGCGAGGCCGACCGCAAGGTCGTCAACGAGGGTGAGCACCTCATCCGCAAGGAACTCCGCGAGCGCGAGGAGGGCCAGCCCATGGTTGCCGAGCAGAGCAAGGTTGCCAACAGAGTTCACGGCGAGGAGAGACTCCGCCAAAAGTCCAAGGCCAAGATGTTGGTGGATGGTGGGGTCGAGGAGGAGATGGATATCGACTAAATTCCCGGGCTATTTTTCTTTTGTTTTCATGCTTCTTCAGATATGACATGGTTCCTGCAATTTGCAGATTTTCGGAGTTGGGCATGCTTTGGTGTTTTAAAAGCTATCAATGTTTCTCATCATATCTCATATCCCGTGGGCTACTAGCCTCTTGCTTTCTAAGAGGCCAGTCAAAATGTGTTTACAATGGCCCTGAATGTTACATAGAGGGTTGCTAGTCAAAATAGTGACCAGGTGGTGGAACGACCATAATGAGACCTTGGGAGATCGACCCTGACAATCATTGGACGTAGGCATGCAAGTCCGTAATGCATTCACAGTGTTGACCTAGGCATAATTTCTCGCTGTCTTGGGAACCGTAAGGGTACAATTGGTTGACTTTTGGTAAGACAGCCGACTTGCCTACGTGATATTTCCAAGGTTCGTAGAATAGACGGGTACATCCTTATGGACATTGCTTTAGGGGGCATGCGGCAGCCATGGTGATTGCCTAGGCTGCAGAGCATGTATAGACGAACCTTGGAACCTCGATCCTAGCATTTCAGTAGGACTCCCAACGCGGTGGCATCAAGATTGAGGCAGTTCTCATTCAAGGTTGTGGGAAACAGGATTTCCATATGAGCAATATTTTTCCGGATGGTGCCCAGTTCAGTATAGTAGCAGTGAAGATACATGTTTGCGTTCCCCGACTCTGCCCTAATTCGGTGCCAATTCCGCAACCTCTCAAATAGGCTTCAACTGCCAGGCTGCTTTTATGCAGCCTTCTGTATTGATCATGTAGATCTATCAAACCCAACTCCACGGGAAATGAAACCGTATTCTTTTGGCAACGTGGGAAGGCGTACGGACGACCAGAGCTTAGCTAAAGTACCCCATAGACTAGATTGGTATCTTGATTTGCACCAAATGGGGCTTATAGGAGGTAGGAGATATTGAGAAGGTAGAATTGCAACCATCTATGGTGGCCGCAATAGGTATTGTCAAGAATAGCAACTAAATACAATACAATCCAAAAATGGAAATGAAGAGAAGGGTGCTGGGAGGACCCAGGAGGCAAAAGCGAGAGGAAGATGTGAGGTACCAATCCTGGAGATAGAAGGAAAAGCAAAAAAGAAAAATATAGCGCCTCTCTGATGAATGAAAACTCCCCTATTTGGTCACCCGACATCCTTATAGGTCAAATCGAGTCCTATCATATGCGCCAAACACCACCCCAAGAGGGGAGAACCAAATGAGAAAAAAAAAAAAACAAGCAAGCGAATGCGATGGCTGGAGGTGGAGATAGCAGAGAAAGGCGCAGGAGGGTATGAAGATCAACGGAAAATGATAAGTGGCTCATATAGACAGGGGTATCAACGGCCAGTCAAATCCGGGAAAATAAATGCTATGCAAACGAACTCTAGGTGCTGTTTGAACGCAGCAGTGCCTGGGGAAGAGAGAATTAGTCAATCGAATCAAGAAAAAAAGGTTCCAACGTACAGCTAACGTACCCGCTCGTCAATCATCTCTTCGTCCTTGTCTTGTGGTGCTGGGCTGACGACGCTTCCTCGGCTGATGGGACCGGAGGAAGTTATAGACCGCGAATCCACAACGGGGCGAGTGGGCTGTGGCAGAGGCTGCTGCTGGGGTGGCTGGGATTGCTGCTTCTGTGGCCGCTGCTGAGACTGTTGTTGCGGCTGTTGCTGTTGATTTTGGTTGTCTGATGACATCGAGTAGTTGGGATGCATCTCCCCACTGCTGGAAATTCTTGACTCCTTGCTCTTCTCCAAGAGTGACCCCCCAAGGGTGGCACACTTGAGAATAGTCTGCATCATCTGGTTCTGTTTCAATGGCTTGGACAGATATTCATCCATCTGAGCCTGGATGCACTTCTCGCGATCACCCAACATAGCGTGAGCAGTGAGCGCGATGATTGGAGTACGCTGGAGCCCACTCTCGCGTTCGTACTCGCGGATTTTCCCAGTAGCTTCAAATCCACCCATGACGGGCATCTGAACGTCCATCAGAATTACATCGTAGCGACGTTTCTTCACAGCCTCAACAGCCTCCAAACCATTGCCAACAACGAATACATTGTGGTTGTGTTTTTGAAGAATCTTCATTGCGAGTTGTTGGTTCACGTCGTTATCCTCAGCCAAAAGGATATCGAACGACCTAGAGTTGTCCGTAGTGATGGGCGTTGAACGACCCTCCAACGCTGGCAGCATACCATTTCCAAGGTCAATGGGTTGACACGGGGTGGTCATGTATGAGCTGATGCCAAGATCGAGAGCGGACTTCAAGCTGACACATACCAAAGGACAAACCAAAACAATTGGAATGTACTTGAATTCGTCGAACGTACGCAGAATACGAGCTGTGTCCACAGAGTCCACGATGATGACGTCGTAGGCATGACCAGACTCCTTCCCAGAAGGATCTTGAATCTCAGGTGGTGGGACGTGTTCCTCATTCCGCACAACCAAAGGCTCCAGTTCGATCTTCTTCAGCATCTTCATGACATTGGACGCCTGAACGCCATTCTGGCCCTTGTCGATGAACAGCACGCGGTGGTTTCTGTATGGCAAGAGCTGATTCGCAATCACGCTCAAAGATTGATCCGCAAGCTTCACAACGCAGGTGA